AAGGCGGCGGCGGCAGCCGAAGACGACGGCGCACGCGCGGAGGGCGGCGGCGCTCACGGGGGGAGAGGAAAGGAAGGAGGAAAGGGGATTCCTCACCGAGGCGATGGCGGCGACCGGCGTGGGAAGAGACGAGCGGCGATGACCGGCGACGCGGAGGCACGGACGGGCGGCGGCGACACCCTAGGAGAAGATGGAGAGGCGTTAGGAGAGGAGACGACGACCACGGCGGCTTGAATTGCCGGCCGGAGATGGAGGGGAGGGAAAAACTCACCGGCTCGCGAGGGGAGAGGTGCTCCGGTGGGATTCCGGCGACGCGAGGCGGCGGCCGGGAAAGCTCTTGCGGCGGCGAAGCTAACGGCGGCGGCGGTTTGGCGCGGCGGCGACTCTAGCGGCGGCGGCTCGCGGCCGAAGGCGGCGGCAAGCGGCGGCACTAGCAACAAGCGGCGCGAGCGCGATAGGAGGCACGGGAGAGCGCGGCGAGTGCGAAAAACGAGAGAGGAAGACGCGGGGAGCGATTTATAGGTGCGGGAGGGGGCGGACGTGGCCGGGGAGGTGGCCGATTTGGCCGGCGACGTGGGGAGTGGAGGGAGAGTGAGAGAGGTGGATTCGAAATCGAATCCCGCCCTCTCGAGCGCGCGCGCGGGCCGGGAGATGCGGGGGAAGAGGCGGCGACGTGGGCGCGAGGTGCGGGTGCGGAGAGGGACGGAGAAGGCGGGCGGCGTGGGGAGGTGGGGCGCCGGCGGTTGGGGCTCGGCTCCAACCGGCTAGAGGAGGAAGACGACCGACAGGTGGGCCCCACCTGTCGGCGCCCGAAGGAGAGAGGGAGGGAGGGAGGACTTCGGGGAGGGGAAAGGGGAACGGGCCGGCTCACAAGGGGAGGCCGAGCGCGGGCGACGGGTGGACTGGGCCGACGGCCCAAGAAGAGGAAAAAGGAGGAAACAGGAAAAAGAAAAAGAAAAGAAAGGATTTTCCTGGGATTTAAAAATTGCACTTTGGTGATTTTTAATTGGTTAAAATTATTTCCAAGGCTCTGAAAATTCCACTAAAAATCCTGTTAATATATTGTGACATGTAGAATCCAAGAAAAATTCCACATGCCGATTCTGATTATTATTTGCATTTATTAATTAGAGAATTAGCTCTAGGTTAATTAAGATAATTTCTTCGGACGATTTATTTAGCCAATTTTTAAAGCAAGCAAAAGGGGGGAAACTTCAGGGCGTGACAAGCGTCATATATATCGACTTGTACGCGCACTCGCCTCCGGTTTTTGCCCCCTTTTTGTGGCGATGCCGACGCCGTGGCCGGCACGAGGACCACTCAGAAATTCTGGGGGGTGGGCCGAGGATTCCAAGGTTCTCGCAACTGAAGGTACCCACCACGCTGGTGCGCACACAGCGATAAAAAACTACTAGTATTCCACTTAATCATGTTTCTTTCCAAACATGGAAGGATATATTAAAGATCTTTCCAATAATATGCAATAGAAAATCTCACCTATATATATATATATTCTTTTCTTTTTAATTATTGGATGGATTGATTTTAAGATTCACTTAAGCACACTAATGCCAAACTCCTCTTCTTCTGTTCCCCCTGGCTGCCATTCCTCTTTTTGTTTGATTGACTCTTCCTCTATCCGATCTCCCGCTGCCATCGTCCCAATACGTAGCCGCCTGATCTTGCTGGTTGGTAGGAAGATATCAACGATGTCAGTGAGACCCCGTTGGGCCAGCCTCCTCATCTGCTTATCCTCTTCGCCAAGCTAGCATAACGAGTGTTCCCGTCCCACCGTCTTTCCTGTCTCCGGTGACTCTCTGTCATTGTATTTGTCATCGTCAGCCGCTGTTTCCTAACCAAAAGTTCCACTTTACCTCCACCATCCTTCTCCATTCATGTGGCGACTAGTGATGTCCTCCTCTTCCCTCTCCTCTTATCCCCTCCCTAACCCAGAATGGTAAGCCTTAATTCATCGGGTCATTGGCGGTCATCGAAGCTGAAGAAGGAATGTAGCATGAATCGTGGAGTGGATCTAATGGTGGATTTCTTTCTACCATAAAATTTCTGTCATATGAAACTTAGGCGATTCCATATTTTAAATAAGAAAACCCAATGTTGTCATCGACGTAGTGCAACAGATGCCTCGCAGAATCCAAAACCATAGCCACTACAGGATCGCAAGAAAAACCATGCTCTAGGGGGTTATTTGGTTTGTGGCTATCTTTACCAAACCACAATTAAGATAAGTTGTGGCTTGTCACAAAAGTTGTGGCTCATAAATTCTTAGCAACACCTTAGACAAGCTTACTTAAAAAATTGGGTCAATGATACGTGGGACCATATGGTTGAAAAGTGTGGCGAGTCACAGATGTGACAATGAACTAAACGATTGTAAAACCTTAGACATCGTAAATTGAAGATAGCAACCAAACGGCCCCTAGATATCTTGTTGATGGTGATTTCAGTGATTTGTTGTGAGGGCAACTCCACGCAGCTCAAGTGGCAGAAGTGTCCAGTCCCCAGTTGCTATGCTTATATAGAGTTGCACAATGTCAAAGCTAGCCAGGCTCCATCGATTGGGTCATGTCGTGTTTTTTCTCTCTTCAGGACGAGCACACATACGGTGATCGATGTCTTGTCAGATATCATTCGGATCGCAACCTGATCCATCGATAGATTCGGATTTAATTTGCAGGCTACTCGTTGTCCTTTCTACACTAATTACTCGGTGATTACTCCGCAACTAGCCATTAGCTAGCCTTGATCAGTCTTGGACGATATATTGCACCTTTACGCATGATGACGAAAACACTGTTGGGCTAATAACTATTCTTTCCGTTCCTAAATATTTGACGCCGTAAATTTTTTAAATATACTTGACCGTTCATCTTATTTAAAAAATTAATTAATTAATAATTATTTTATTATCATTTGATTTATTGTTAAATATGTTTTTATGTATACATATAGTTTTATATATTTTACAAAAGTTTTTGAATAAGACAAACGGTTAAATATGTTTAAAAATATTAACGATGTTAAATATTTAGAGATGGAGGAAGTCCTCCGTACCATGAGCTGATGAAGTGATGAGCAGGTGTTGTCGTATAGTCCTGGATCTGGAACCATACGCGTGACGTGTAGTAGAAAAACATCTTCAAGCCCTACTTTTCGCTCTAGTTAGGAGGTTGTGTTTTTTTTTTTAAAGTCAACCTTTCCCTCTTGACACGTAAAACAGATCGATGAATTAACACATGATTCCGTTAATTGAGTGCGCAGTGCTTCTATCAGCTAACAAAAACTTTCTAAGAAAAGATCGAAATTGATTTTCTTGAACCAACTTGAAAGAATGAGAAAACGTGTGCGTGAAAAATGAGAAGAGGAGAAGTTGGTAGCCCACCACGGCCCACGCTGGTGAGGACGCTAGGTCCATTTTGGTCTGATCGGAACTGGATTGCGGCATACGTGTAGCCCATTTTAGTTGGGCCGGAACGGGGTCGCGGGTGGTGCGGGCCATGATTAAGGCTGGCTGAGTGAGTGGGCCGTTACATGGGGTGTATGGGCCCAAAAGGCCTACGTACGCGACATGCACTGGTCTTCTTGTACTCTGCCAGGGCGACACGAACACAAAGCCGCAGTTATCTAGCCGACAATTTTGGCTGGTAATTCTAGAAGATAATTTACTAGAAACAGCAATAAATAAATAAAAGGCCTGTTTAGATCCATTTGGAATGACAAATGACAAATGGCAAAAGTTTTGGTGGCAAAAGTTTTTGCATTGCAAAAGTACTAGTTGGTGTTTAGATGTATGTAAAAGTTTTGCCATTCTAGCACTAAAGTGTGAGAGAGAAAGAGAGATGGAGTGGTCCCAAAGCACTTTTTGGCATAATTTGCTACTATGGACTAGCAAATGCCAAATACCAAATTGACAACTTTTGCTACTAGTGTTTAGATCCAAAATAACAAAAAATGCTACAAAATGGTAAAACTTTTACCATTTTGGAGGATCTAAACTGGGCCAAAAACATCTTTTTCCCTGATTTTTTTAAGACACCTTTCCCCCAAGGATGCCATATGAAATAAATATGACTCATAGCTCCCTGGTTAGCATAAAAAGTTTATAAACAAATTTTGGTGGCAGTTGAACATGAAAAGGGATTTTGTACGCAATAATTATTGTCAAGCTCCGTGGTAGCAGCGAAAAATTATAAATAAACTGTAGACGCACTTGATCATTCAAATATTTAATACCAAAAGACCTAATAATTTGCAACTGGCTAAAGATTAAGTATACTCAACATGTGCACGCCATTATACCCAATGTTCTTCTGTGCACTATCCTCACGTAATATACACCTTCGTACCATAATATAATAACTTTTAATTTAAATTAAAAAAATACTGTACTACCTCCATCAAAAAATAATTGTGACACTTATATCTATTGAGAAAAAAAAAGACTATGATTTATGGGGGCAATTAGTGCTCTAGAGTGATAATTATTTAGGGATGAATCTTCAATCAAAAAATACAATTATTTTGGAACGAGAGGGAGTATATTTTTGAGCTGTACTTAACAAATTGCAACTGCCACCTTAATGATTATTCTACTTTCCAATCGCCATTCCGGGAAAGCTCCCAATGCCCGCCCCTCTGAATCCCCCCTCCCATATCCCTCTGTACGCAAAAGCCGTTGAAAAAAAATATATTATTCGGACAAAAAGGCGTAAAATCCCGCGTGTCGCCGGGTCACCCAACGCCACGCGCCGTTCAACCGCTTGGCGGAGAAGCTCCCCCTTTTCTCACGTGGAAACCACCGTTCGCTTCGTTAACCTCCGTTTCGTACGACGGAGGAGCGGAGGAAAAAGAGGCATGCATTTCGTGCGTGTGGTCCGTAACGGGGAAAACGAGACGGAGGAATCTGACTTTCCCGCACGGCCATGTTGACTCCGCCGCCCCACATCGTCGAGAAGGAGAAGAAAAAAAAAAAAAAGGAAAAAAGAAGTCCTCGTTACGCCTTTCCCTGTCTCCTCCTCCTCTTCTTCGGTTCTTCCTCCGCCCCACTCCACCCAATCCTGAATCCGCCCCCCCCCCCCCCCCCCGAAGCAGCAGCGGCGGCGGCTGGCGGGAGGAGGAAGGCAAGGATCCGGCGGGGAGAGGCCGCCTCTCTTTCCCTTCCTTCGCGTCCGTCGTCCTGCTTGCTGCGGCCTGCAGCTGGTGAGTGAACCGCTTCTCTCTCGTTCATCTCTAGTAACGGTTAGCTACTGGATCTGTTCTTGCTTCTGTGCTCGCTTTGATGGAGTGCGCTGTAGGTTGCCTCGCTCGCTTGCCTTCACTTGTCTTCGGATAATATATCAAAAAAATTTAAAAAATAAAACATAAAGTTGGAATCATGGTTTTCCTCAATCAAAAAATAATAATAAGAAGAAGTTAGAATCGGTCATGGCTGTGTGTTGGGATAGATGGGGGTTTATTCACTTTATTGGCTCAAATTACAAACGTTTCGGTGCCCAATTTGGTGGTATTTCAACCTTCAGGCGCCAGACATACAATGGATAATCTTAGTACGAATGAGGCGTGCACAGTAGCTAATGCTTGCATGGATGATAAATTTTGCTCTTTCTGCTGGCTATTCTCCATTGGCAGCTAATTTAGCAACAAACATTAGCATGTAAAATTACGCATTACATTCCAGTTATCCGTCCAAAAAATTGATACCAATATGGCGCGCTTTGCTTAATTATGGGTCTCTTTCTGTTTGGCGCAGAGCTTGGCGGACAATAATACATATGCTTGTCCTTGCAAACCTATAGTACAGCGATCCTTTCTGTGGAACATTGCATCAGTCTAGAAATAGATTGGAAAGGGGTTTAGCTTGCGTATACTATCTGAGACTCTGGCTCGACAGAATGGTCTCCAATGGTAATGAAGATCTTAAAGCGGATGTTGAACTAGTAGAGTCGACAACAGTGGACAATGATACTGGAGCCCCAGGTGCCAGTACTCTTCCTACTCAAGGTGTTCCACGACAAGGGAAGCAGCGGAATGGGTTTCTGAATTTCTGTAATCGCTTTTCCAGTGGTGACAGGTTTAAGAAGTTGGGTCCTTCGCCTTCATTCAAGTTTCGACAGCTTGCACTTGAGCGAGATGAGTTCTCACGTTCCATCCACTCTGACAGCCATGATAATCATGAGCACTTCCAGTTTATCAGGAAAATTAATTGGGGCCATCTGTGGGTAATGTGCAAGGATTGGATAAAAGAGCCTCTTAATATGGCCCTTTTTGCTTGGATTGCTTGTGTTACTGTATCTGGTGCAATACTATTCCTTGTCATGACTGGAATGCTCAATCGTGCATTGCCTAGCAAATCACAAAGAGATGCCTGGTTTGAAGTAAACAACCAGATTTTGAATGCATTATTCACACTCATGTGCCTTTATCAACACCCAAAGCGGATATATTACTTTGTGCTGTTGTGTCGATGGGAGCAAAAGGATGTTTTGGTCCTTAGAAAAACATATTGCAAAAATGGAACATACAAGCCCAATGAATGGATGCACATGATGGTGGTTGTGGTCCTCCTTAATTTGAACTGCTTTGCTCAGTATGCCTTATGTGGTCTCAACCTAGGATACCGCAGATCTGAACGACCTCCTATCGGTGTTGGCCTGACCATTTCCGTTGCTATCGGGGCAGCGGCATTTGCTGGATTGTATAACATTATCAGTCCTCTTGGGAAGGATTATGACACAGAACTGACTGAAGTTGACCAAGAAGCACAAACTGAACTCACCAGGCCAGCAACCTCACGAACATCACTTGAAAAGAGATACTCTTTCATTCAAAGTGAAGAGCGCCGTTTTGTGGAGAGTAGGCCTGAGTGGGTTGGTGGACTAATGGATTTCTGGGACAATATATCTCTTGCCTACCTGTCAATTTTCTGCAGTTGCTGTGTGTTTGGATGGAATATGCAGAGGCTTGGATTTGGTAACATGTATGTCCATATTGCTACATTTATGCTCTTTTGCCTTGCTCCGTTTTTCATCTTCAACCTGGCTGCTGTCAATATTAACAATGAAAACCTTCGAGAAGCATTAGGGCTTACCGGTCTCGCACTTTGCTTTTTCGGCTTACTGTATGGTGGCTTTTGGAGAATACAGATGAGGAAGAGATTTAACCTACCTGCGAACAACTTCTGCTGCCGCAGTGCAGAAGCCACAGATTGCTTCCAGTGGTTGTGCTGCTCCTCATGCTCCCTTGCCCAGGAGGTGAGAACTGCTGATTATTATGATATTGCTGAAGATAGGTCATATACAGAGCAGATTACTGCGAGAAGCCAGCATGTAATGACCCCATTGTCGCGCGAAGATGGTTTGCCTCTTTTTAGGTCAAATCCAGGTTCGCCATACAGGAGCAGCACTGCTAGTCCATCGATCTTCATTATGGAGAGTCCATCAGCTCCACGGAGATCACCTGGACCTAGCCCTCTGGGGGGTTCGCCGACAATGGGCGACAGGACAATGAAGGCGCCTACTCCATCTGTTCTCCACAGAGACGGTGAGCCCGAATTGTAGTACCGGGAAATGCAATGAAGCATTAGTTATCCTGAGTCTATTTTGTATATTTGATGTAAAGAAAACTACCATACACCTTTTTTTTTTCATCTGCAGCTTCCATGCAACTGCCATTGCTTATGAAATGTATAGACTAGACCATCATTTCAGTTCAGTTCTGTACTACTCTGTAAGATTTCTTTTTGAGGTGAAGTGAATGGTAAGCGAGAGTTGTCAATTTACTATCCAATTTTGTGCTGGGAAATTCATGGCTAACAAGAAGATGTCCGTGAATTTTTTAATATGCTCTCATGCCATCTGTAGATCATTCAGTTCTCCCCTGACCAGCCTGTTTACTTCATCAATCACAAAACCGTGACGCAATGGACATTTTGCTTCAGGATTCGACATCAACCTTTTCATTATTGGTACTGAACCTATGTTTGACAGCTTCAGCGCCGTCAGTCCGTTCCATCATCTGAAATCATCTGATGTGATACGTTGATACAACTAAAAACTCTACTATCTCTGTAACCTGCTAGGTCAATGAATGGCACAGCTTCTGTATATAACATGCGTTATCGCGAGCAGCGGTACGTGCAGACGAAGGCTCCCTGAGGACTGGTTCTTGGTTCAACCCTTCTAACAAGAAAACATATGTCATTCTTTTTATTTTTGCCCCTTTGTTCACTTTGTGAAGCAATAGACAATTTCATATTTATAAATATCTGCTTCTATCTGGGAGGCAATTTCTGAGAATGTTCTTACTTCTGACCACTCCTTAAACATTAGCTGGCATAAACGGTGAGCATATTCATGCGCATATGAAAACACACACAAACTGTTTTGTGTGTGGTTGTAAAAGTGTAAAATTACATGAGCAGTATCCAGTACTCGCAGCTTTTGCACTACGAGGCAATGACTTGTCCACGCTGACCAGTCAATTGTCATGCACTGTTTTTCCCCCCAAATTAGCTAGTGTCATGCACTGTTTAAATGCTTGCTTCTGTAGCTAGCAAGTAGCACCATCTTTAGAAATAAAGGACATTACCACTACTAGTAACTGGAGTTAACTTAGGCCACGTATGCTTGCGCCTTCAGGCTTCAATCCAGCGGGGGGCAACTCAGTTACAAGTTGTGGGCAGCTGACCCTTACAACTTATTTAAAAAATACCCCTGTAAATCTTGGATGTTATCTGTAAATCTAGAACAATTGAGATGCCCCTCAAGGAATAGAGTGATCTTAAGGCCAGCAAGAGGTACTCCCTTCGTAAAAAGAAATTATAGTGCATATAATATTTTGAAAAAACAAATCAAACTTTGTAATTTTTTATTAACGTTTTCTCAAGTCCAAATTATAAGTATATTTAGTGACAAATATTCTTGCAATGGCCCAGGTCGTAGCGATACCTGTGATATTTCTGCTTGGGATGTGTTTTATTTGGCATTTTTTAGATATAAGATACCATTGAATGATCGACTTACTTCTTTTTATTGGTATTCGAAACACATAACATATTATGGCTAGGTTTCATAAATTAGGAGTGTTTGAAATGTACAATTGGATGGATTATGGATATTTTGTTTTGAGATATTATACTTTTAGAAGTGTGGCATAAATAATCCGCACATAACCTGCATCCTATAATTTAAAACTATCGAGATCTTAATGAATTCACTTATTTCATGGGATGGTTGAATGATTACCTATGGTTAAAACTCTTCACCACTTATCAATGGATGTACAATAAAATTTATTACATCGATCCGTCCCAAAATATAATAGTTTCTGGCTCTGTATCTAAATGAGGTTACGTCTAAATAATAAAAGTTGAATACAAGTTGCTATTTATATTTCAGAACAGAAGTAGTACAAGATTTTGTGGTTTAAAAAAGTGATGATATCCTCCTAGTAGTTCCTTCAATTCGTAGGGACTATATGGACTAAACAGTGCGCTAGTGCGTATACACGCTATAATCCTCATTAGAGTGAACGCACATGTTTGGCACGGGTAAGATATTCGAGGAGGCCTGTCTATAGAACAAGGAAAAACTTTCCATTTCTCCACGTGACCAAGTGACTTCTGCATCCAAAAGGTACACGTACACACGCTACTCGAGATCGACCATGCATGTACAACACGCCAATCGTATGGATGCACACGTTGCTTGTTATACAAGTCTCACCTCGTCTCTATACTTCACACAAGTGTACTTCTATATATGGTGATTTGCTCATAACCTTATTAGCTTCTCTGTGGATATATAGACCTGAAATATGTCTGTACAAGTTCAATCTGCAATTTCTTTTTGAAGAACGAAAACAAACTGCAAAGTTTCATAACCTGATAAACTTAAGCGAATTAATTTTGCCCCTGATAAAAACCTATATGAGAATCACAATTCCTATGTGTAAACTGTTTGAGCTCTTCTTTTACTATTTCTCTGTAGCATAGTGGTTGCAGTGACCTGAGTAGTACCCCAAGGTTCTGAGTTCAAATCTTCATAGGAGTAGATTTCATATTGGGTTGTTTGCGGGGCTAAATTTCTAATTTAAATGTACCCCAAGATCCTGAGTTCAAGCCTCCATAGAAAGTGAATTTCAAATTGGATTGTTTGTGGGGCTAGGTTCCTAATTTAAATGGCCATATATATCTAGTTAGATGTAGAGGCCGGGTAAAAAATACCATTCTCTAAAAAAAAAAAGAAATGTACTATCTCCGTTCTCTCAAAAGGATGCATGACGTCCTGCAATGGTTACAGTCAAATCTCAAAATATTAAATTATTAATGGATAAAAATATCACTATTTAAAATATGGAAATTATATTAGTAGTTTTGTCAATAAAAACTCTTGCATATAGTTATTTTTTTATATTTTTATAATAAATATATAGTTTGAGAAAGTAATGATAAAACATATGCAATGGAAGGTATGTCGATGTCCAAAACATTACCCTTTTGAAAATTGAGGTAGTACTATCTCATCTTCGATAATTTATAATCTAAGAAGCGGTCAATCTGCTAATTTGATGATCACCAGTTCACCACCATGGCACCATGCTGCACTTAACAACAAAAAGAAATCCACGTAGAACAATGTCTTGTGACTACAACTGTCACTGACATACAGTCCGAGCAGACACCTGAAATGCAAATTTCAACAGTAGAATCAGTCAGCTGATTTAAATATAAACAGGGGTAAGAATTTAAGCAGCTAAAAAGCGATACAAACCCTAATTAACTATACTCTACTAATTAAGCTACCCAACCATCTGACATGGTTTACTACTTCAGAAGGCAGCTCCCCAATTCATTAAAAAAACCACTAGTAATTTAATTATAGCAAATTTTGCTACGCTACTTCGTGGTTCTATATGTAAGACACCACACGAAGTAAATTTTAAGAAAAAAAATACTCTATAAATATGATTATTTACTAGATGTACAATATCGTTTAGTGTTACCATAAAAATACCAGGAGCAATTTGGTCACACCATGTTATAAAGCAGGTCCTATCTTGTATCCTAGAAACACTAAATTAATGTATGCAATGTCCATTGGTAAATAACTCAGAGTATATTCTCCTAAAAATTACTCTATGTTGTGTTTTGTAGTTAAACCCACGAAGTCTAGATGTACCGCAACAGAATTTGCATTTAATTAATCAAATGAAACGAGAACATTGTGTTTCTTTTTTTGGTTTTTTGCCTGTAATAGTATACGGGTATACGGTACGCCCGGAACTAGTCAGACAAACGATTCGCGACCGTCACTCCGCACGCTCCGAACCCCCGCGACCAGAAACCGTACCCGCCTTCTCCCGCACCGGGCCCCACCATAGTCCACGTCACCTGCTCAGCGCTCTCCCATTGGTGGGTGCGAATAGTCCACAGCAGCATGCGGGGTCGCAGCCCGCCAGTCAAACCTCGAGGGAGCTTTGACCAGTCAACGGTCAAACGTTCAAAGGTCTATATAATGATCACCGGAGGCGTCGTCGTTGGAAGAAGCAGTAGCCACACCCACACGCACACCCGATCGATCCTGGCATCCTACTCTGCTCGATCGAATCGCTAGCTTTCTTCTTCTTCTTCTTCTCCTCCGTCTCCGATGACCGCCGCGCCGGGGAGCCTCCCGCTGGTGAACTCGAGGCCCGTCTCCCTCTCCTTGGCGGCGAGCAGGTCGTCCTTCTCCAGCCTGCTCAGTGGCGGCGCCGGCTCGTCGTTGAACCTCATGACGCCGCCGTCTTCTCTCCCGCCGTCGTCGCCGTCGTCCTACTTCGGCGGCGTCTCGTCCTCCGGGTTTCTCGACTCGCCGATCCTCCTCACGCCCAGTGTAAGCAAGCACGGCCGCCGTAGCCGATCGAGCATCCCATTTCCTTTGCCAAATTGCACCGGCATGTGTGGCTGATTATTGAGCTCCATCGTGTTTGTTTCAGTTATTCCCATCGCCGACGACGACGGGCGCATTGTTCAGCTGGATTACGACGGCGACGGCGACGGCGGCGATAGCGCCGGAGAGCCAGGTGCAAGGAGGGGTCAAGGACGAGCAGCAACAGTACTCGGACTTCACGTTCCTGCCGACGGCGTCCACGGCGCCGGCGACGACGATGGCCGGAGCCACCGCGACGACGTCCAACTCCTTCATGCAGGACTCCATGCTAATGGCTCCATTGGTAAGACGAACATCAAGCTCAACTTCTAAATTATTAGTGCAGAGCTAAGAAATTACGAACAGGGACTGACATGTGGGCCAGTAGTCGCATGGTAGTGAGTGATTTATCACAAACTTTTTTACTAAAAAAAAGTAATGATAAGCTTATCCGGATCAACGACGTCCTTGCATTATTACGAATTTCTTGTGGATTGGGAGGTTCTCTTTTGACTTTTATGCCAAAGCATACATATATGATGAAATGCATTAATATCTCGCGGCCAAGATATCTTAATCAACATGTTTTTTTAATGATAAGGGACACTCAGGCTAGATTTGCAAAAGCAAACTTCATTTTCACGTTCTCCATGAAAACCTAAGCACATACCATTAGTCAAGCTTGCTACAGTTCTAAACTAGATCAATTAGTCAAAACTCCCTTGGAAAAAATAATTACCCTGCATGTGATGCACTCCAAAAAAAAGATGCATGTATCATTGATATTGTTGTGTTTGCAATATTGTAGGGAGGGGACCCGTACAATGGCGAGCAGCAGCAGCCATGGAGCTACCAAGAACCGACCATGGACGCTGACACTAGGCCAGCGGAATTCACCTCGTCGGCGGCGGCGGGTGACGTGGCCGGGAACGGCAGCTACAGCCAGGTGGCGGCGCCGGCGGCGGCCGGCGGCTTCCGTCAGCAGAGCCGGCGGTCGTCGGACGACGGCTACAACTGGCGCAAGTACGGGCAGAAGCAGATGAAGGGGAGCGAGAACCCGCGCAGCTACTACAAGTGCACCTTCCCTGGCTGCCCGACCAAGAAGAAGGTGGAGCAGTCGCCGGACGGCCAGGTCACCGAGATCGTCTACAAGGGCGCGCACAGCCACCCCAAGCCGCCGCAGAACGGCCGCGGCCGCGGCGGCTCCGGCTACGCGCTGCATGGCGGCGCCGCCAGCGACGCATACTCCTCCGCCGACGCGCTCTCCGGCACGCCGGTGGCGACGCCCGAGAACTCGTCGGCGTCGTTCGGGGACGACGAGGCGGTCAACGGCGTCAGCTCGTCGCTGCGGGTCGCCTCTAGCGTCGGCGGCGGCGAGGATCTCGACGACGACGAGCCTGATTCCAAGAGGTGGAGGAGAGACGGCGGCGACGGCGAGGGCGTCTCGCTGGTGGCCGGCAACCGGACGGTGCGTGAGCCGAGGGTGGTTGTGCAGACGATGAGCGACATCGACATCCTCGACGACGGCTACCGGTGGCGCAAGTACGGGCAGAAGGTGGTCAAGGGCAACCCAAACCCAAGGTACGTTGCATGCGTGCGTAAACATATATCGATCTGTCACGTAGGTGTTCGACGCGTGTACGTGTGGGCTGACATGCATCTGTGCTCTATCTGCAGGAGCTACTACAAGTGCACGACGGCCGGGTGCCCCGTGCGGAAGCACGTGGAGCGCGCGTCCAACGACCTGCGCGCGGTGATCACCACGTACGAGGGCAAGCACAACCACGACGTGCCCGCGGCGCGCGGGAGCGCCGCCGCCGCGCTCTACCGCGCCACGCCGCCGCCGCAGGCGAGCAACGCCGGCATGATGCCCACCACGGCGCAGCCCTCGAGCTACCTGCAGGGCGGCGGCGGCGTCCTTCCGGCCGGCGGGTACGGCGCGTCGTACGGCGGCGCGCCGACGACGACGCAGCCCGCGAACGGCGGTGGCTTCGCCGCCCTGTCCGGCCGGTTCGACGACGACGCGACGGGAGCGTCTTACTCTTACACGAGCCAGCAGCAGCAGCAGCCGAACGACGCGGTGTACTACGCGTCGAGAGCCAAGGATGAGCCGAGAGACGACGGCATCATGTCGTTCTTTGAGCAGCCGCTGCTGTTTTGATCATCTAATCGGGCCGTCAATTTGATCAGCATGCATGATCCATGGATGTTGTGTACATGTGTATGTGGAGTGAGTTAGCTTAGCTCCGGTAAGGTTTGTGACTTTGTTTCATTTGTTTCGGAGGCCCGGGCCATGCAGCTGATGTCTGCAGAAAGCAGGGTGACCTTCGTTTTAACGCGTTGCAATTGCACAGAGGGCGTATAGGGAGAACGAGAAAATAATTAAGATCAGTTTTTAGCTGCTTAACTTTTTTTTTTCAAATGAAAAATTTGTTGTAGTATGCAAATGTAAACTGTAAACACAATTTGGATATATTGTATTAAATTATTCATATGTCCCCATTGTGGTAGATTTAACATTTCGTTCTATGGCTTTGCTATGTATGAATTGTCAGGCGTTAATTTGTTGAAGTACAATGAATGGTGAATTGTTGGCTCTTTCTCGTCAATTTAAATCTTGGGTGAATAGCCAGTTCAGTCCTTTAACTTTTGCTCAGAGGTCGAATTAGTCCTTAATGTTTTATAATGTCCAAATAAGTCCCTGAAGATTATCATGTGGTTTAATATAAGTCATTGGGCCCAATTAAAATGCCATGTCATTTGTGCATGTAGTAAAGTTAACATTTAAATGTCCATTTTAACCTTACATTTTTTATTAAAAAAAGAAAAGAAAAACAAAGGGAAAAACAAGAATAAGCAATAAAACAAAGGAAAATGCCAATGGCCAAAACTTTTTTTTTTGTTTTTTCTCAATAGTTTTTCCTTATTTCCTATGAAAGTGTAAGGGTAGAATGGGCATTTAAATATTGAATTTGCATGCATAGATGATGTGGCATGTACACATGACATTTTTAGAGGGTCCAAGAACTATATTAAATCACACAATAAACTTTAGGGACTTGTTTGGACAATACTAAATGCCAGGGACTAAATTGATCCTTAAGCACAAGTTCAAGGACCATGTTGGTTATTCACTCTTAAATTTTTGATAAATTGTTGTCATATAGTATAACTCAATATAGTATCAGAACTGATTGGTACATATAATAGGATCTTCTTCAATCTTAATAAACCAATATTTGGTAGTGTTCTTCGAGCTCCAAACAAGTGTGTGAGGGGAGAAGATAAAAGGTGGGGAATTTGGGCAAGGGAGGGGGGGATATAGAAGAATAAGAAGAATACGAGCCAATCTCCAAATATAAGGAAATGCTAAATTATATCAAATCATAGGTTCATAAATTGATTCTAATTCACCTCTTGTGATGTAAATCCCATATGCTCTAAAGGGAAAGGGGGGACTGGGGGAGGGGGGGGGGAGATCAACTATGAATGTGATATGGGCAGGAAAGCTATAAGCTAGTTGGCGTGGGAGGTGCTAGTGCTAAGAAAATGGCGTAGACATTGAAGATAAGAGAGGCGTAATGATGATGAAGAGTAGTAAGAAGAGAAAACATGTATGTTTACTATGTACCATAGATGTGGTAGCTAGGCCGATATATCTTAGTAAGTCAATGTTAATAGATCACATAGGTGAGTGAGGGTTTGCCGATGGCGCCTCTAGAGAAAGACGTTTGAAGCAATCATAACCATCCAAAATAACTTCTTTACTTTCAAACCTTTCTTATTATGTTAATTAGTAAGCCCTATCATAGTATCATTTTTGGATATGAACCTTTTATCCAAACTATCCTCACTATTGTCCCGAGTAAAAAAAAAATATGTTGAATGATAATAACTTGACATGCTATTAAGAATTATGCTCTTGTGCCACTCACGAGACCATGACCATTTATTTCTAAAAATATATATGTTAGGAGAGCCTTATTTTAGATTTTAAGTAGAAAATGTTTTTAAGACTTGGATACATGGCGCCTTTTATTTACTATTTGACTTTTTAGCGTTATGCCCTGCTTGGTAGAGCTCCAATTCCTAAATTTAGCTCTAGGAGTTCAGTCTGAAGTGGAGTTCAGTAGCAGCCTAAACCCAGCTCCACATCTCTAATTTATTTCTAGTTTATTTTGAAGAGCACTCTACTAAGTTCTGCTCCCATTTTTAATAAAGTAAAACTGTTTGGTTAGGCTTCATCTCCAGAGTTAGAGCTGAGTTGTTGACGTCTTGACGTAGTGAGTTTGCGCAAGTTAACACCGAGCAGGCGATTCTTGACAACTGGCCGGGCACAAAACCGGTCGGGCAGCCGCGAGACAAGGTGGTCGCCGATTTCGGATCCGGCGCTGCCGTCGTCGACACGTCGCGCGCCTGGAGCACTCTGCTACACTACTGGCGGTATCTATGACTTGACCGGCAAATTAATCCGGTGCAGTGAACGTACACCGTCTCAGCCGCAGAATCTTCATCGGATTATGCATTCCAGCTGTCCGACGCCAACTGTTACCTGGATCAAGTAAAGAAAAAAAAACTAATTAAAGTCGTTTCTGAACAGTAAACCCTCGTAAATTTTGCATGGCAAATGGTTTGAATTTGGTATAATTCATCGCTCAGAGTCACAATACCAGCAAACAAAAATGAGCAGAACAATTTACAGCAGCAACTTGGAAATAAACAAATCAATGCACTGCACTCCATCTAAAATTCTGTTTGTACATCTTGGATCTTACTTTTTTTTTTCTCCAAATTTTCCCTCGACTTCCGAGACACACACACAGCGTTCGAACCCTGAAGATTTTTACAGCTCGTCAGGGGATCGAACGCACGAGAGAGACCCCAAAATTGGAAGGGTCCTCATCATCCACCGTTCATATTCACAGCGGAAGATCGAGAGGAGAAGAAACGAAGAGAAAAAAAAAGAAGGAAAAAAAATGGTCAAAAGGTGGTTCACTAGCTAGCTGCCTAGCTAGTCTGATGGCTCCTCCGCTATGCTCTCCAGCTGCGGCCGCCACACACCGGCGCGGGCGCCGCTGCGCCGCCGGCGGTGGCTCGTCCCCCGCTTCTCGGACAGCAGCTCCATCAGGTAGTTGTCCTGCTCCGCGGTGCTCGCCGCGGCGGCGGAGCCGCCCTTGCCATTGCCGTTGCCGTGGCAGCGCTTCTTCTTCTTCCGGCGGGTCATCATCTTGTCGGCGGCGGGCGCGGAGCACGCGGAGGGGATGAGGAAGTAGATGCGGCCGCGCTTGAGCTCGGAGTCCGGGGACACGATGACGATCTTCCTGCAGGGCGCGCCGCCGGCGCCGGCGCCGCCCGGCGACCAGGCGGCGGTGAGCGCGTGGTTGGGGTGCGCGGCGAGGACGTCGGCCGCGGTGAGCGGGCAGCTGGTGAACTCGTCGACGCGGCCGCTGAGGTGCACGACGCGGACGACGTCGAGGGCGCCGCAGGGGAGCATGCAGGCCAGGCAGCAGCGCAGGCTGTTCCCCATGGCTGGCTGGCTAGCTTCTTCTCCTTCTCGCCGGCCGGCGGCTGAGCTGCGTACGTACAGGTGGATCAGATGGAAGGAGGAGGAGGAGACCGTGGCTGAGTGAAGCTATGATGAGGGTGGCACGGGCAGTGTATATATAGAGCTATTTTCGAGGGTGTTGCTTCTATTTTGGTGCATGGTGCGCTCAAGTGAGTAGCATTGCATTATGCAATGGGCACACGACCAGTCGACCCACCACGTACAATGTCTCCGATAAGGGTAGTATCTAAAAAAAACTGCCGCAAGTTTTTCTGAGTCCAAAACTTTCAGATGTAACTATAATATAATTAAAGCGTAATTACATTCATAATTGCAATGTAACTATACTATAATTATGATGTAACTTATATAAATTTGCATTCAACTATGATTTAGTTAGTTAGTGCTAGAATCCTATGCGTGACAAGTGTGAAAATTTCTTTCTAGCAATTTTTTTTCTTCATGCACAAATCTCGAGACGATTCGATGGTTACAAATCTGAAATTTTAGGGGAAAAAAACTTGCGGAAGTTTTCTAGCAAAGTGTCACGTTAACATGTTAGTAGTATACGCAATGAGTATATAGCTATTTATAGATAAATTTAGGCCATGTTTAGAGGAGATGGAGATTCTGAAAGCAGTTGGTGAAATCCAGAAAAGCTAGGGGGTTTTTCCATTTTCTGAATTATATAGCTTCTTTTTTTTTCTCAGACATAGTTCTATAGCTTCCGAATTCCTAGAAACTAGGTGAAAAAAACTTACTATTTGGAAGTATTGAAGATTCTTAGAGAAGATATAACTGTCAGAAGCTACTTAGAGCAGGTTCAATAGGGGTAGAAAAGCTAGCGATAAGCAAGCCACGTAAATTCTGTTGATGACTTGGCCGGGAGCGCAGATGAGAGAGAGTACGAGCCGGCGACTAAATAGTCGCCCGCCGATACGTGTACTCCAAGAAAAAAGTGCGTCCGTTTTGCGCGGGAGAGGAGATGCTTGGCGCAGCGCAATTAAATATCATTTGCTACAGTAAAAGGAGGATAAATACAGAGCTGACCCTATTGTATATATTAGTATGTATGTTGGTTACAGATGTCATGGAAAGAAATTTCAGCTAACAGCGGGTGATATTATTAAACTTGCTCTTAAAAAAGGATGTTTTGGTCAATCGATATGCATTTACGTTTTTAACGCTCCACCCAAGAAGCAAGCAGTATTCGTTAAGGCAATAATCAAGTTACTATCTAGTTAAAAATAAACATTGAGCAACTTTAGAGAAATTATGGTAAGTTGATCAACATTAAGTAATTACTACCTTTGCATTATTTTGCAAAGACGGCATTGATTATTTTTATTTCTTTTTTTCATCTGCATTACATATTTATCTGATGTCATGATTGACTGTAAGTGCAAACTAGCGCCGTTTGATATGTACTGGAGTTACTTATATCATTATTCTTGATTTGCGTTGGAGGTGTACTACTTCTAGAAAACTAAAATGTTGTGCTGTTCTGCTGCATAAAATCAGTCGATTGGAAATTTGGAATCAACCAAAAAGAGCAAAATAAATCTCCCTTTGAAATAACCTTCCTCTGCAAAGTTGCAACGTTGAGGTTGCCCACGCCCTTGCTTGTGAGTGCACGTAGCATTGCCAATTTGCCATCGTGTTGAAACCAAGACATTTTTGTCCTCAACCATATCTAGCAGAGGCAAGACAAAAAGGGGCACGGTGCATCATGTTCCGTTGGACTTGCAGGCTTCGGTAAACCCTTTTTGTTTAGTACCCCTGCTCCACTGTCCATCTGTCTCTTCTCCCCCTTTCTGAGATGCCTTTGGTATCTCTCACTATTTTTACCCCGAGATTCAGAGGCCAAGACGGCAACCAAGTGCTTGATTAGTGGGTCAGATAACACCCCTCATTTCGTGCAGGAAGCTGCTAGGAAACTCTCGCGGTACACACAAAACTATATCAGGGAGAAAACAAACTTGAGCTGATCAGCTCTTAGGCTGTTACGATATGATTCTCGGGCAGAACATTCCTCCCAGCTTACTCGCGAGAAGAAAGAATGTTGCCACATGAACTTTATTGACGTTCCACCTTGATGATGATGAACCTTGACGGACGGCATGTTGGCAAACCAGTTTGGAATTCCTGTTGATCCGTTTAAAAACGTGCGCAAAACGTTGCTATTTCGTCTTCATCATTCCTAACATCTTTTTCCCCAAGCAAGATTAATTGGTTCCAGAAAAGATAGAGGAATCTCTATCAAGAGGAGGCAGCAAACCCATATTGTTACTTAAAAGAGGAATTTATTATTCCACCCGTTCCAAAATAAGTTTATTTTTAGCTTCTCTTATTTATCTAAAAAAAGTTTACTTTTAAGTAATCATTGTATCGGTCGTTTATGAAGAAATATGATAAATGCATTGGAAGAGAGAACTAATTATATTAAAATTTGATAAATGAAGATATGAAAAACGAACTAAGGGTGTGTTTAGTTCACGCCAAAATTGGAAATTTGATTGAAATTAGAATGATATGATAGAAAAGTTGGAAGTTTGTGTATGTAGGAAAGTTTTGATGTGATGGAAAAGTTGAAAGTTTGAAGAAAAAGTTGGGAACTAAACCAGGCCTAATTTAGGCTGTGTTCTGATCCAAAGTTTGGATCCAAACTTCAGTCCTTTTCCATCACATCAACCTGTCATACACACACAACTTTTCAATCACATCATCTCCAATTTCAACCAAAATCCAAACTTTGCGCTGAACTAAACACAGCCTTAGATAATTTAGATGATGAGAGTAAATGAAGAGGAGGCAGCAAATCCATACTCCAATGTTTAAGGTGGTGTTTGGATCCAGGGACTTAACTTTAGTCTCTGTATTTAGATACTAATTTAGAGTATTAAATATAGACTACTTACAAAACTAATTACATAAATGAAAGCTAATTTGCGAGTCAAAATTTTTAAGCCTAATTAATCCATAATTAGAGAATGTTTACTATAGCATCATATAAGCTAATCATGGATTAATTAAGCTCAATAGATTCGTCGCGCGAATTAGTTCAAGATTATAAATAGATTTTATTAATAGTTTATGTTTAATATTTATAATTAACGGAATTGCTATATCTTTGTCGACAGTTTTTTTCCCAAAAATCTGTCACTTTTCTATCCGTTCGATTTGACGCTAAGATTCGGTTTTGTATGTCCTATGGCTGCATGGAATTGGACTCCAATGTCTGATCATTAACGTGTTCACACCATAAGACCCTTCTGTTACTCTTTTTACCGTTATTTAACGTGAGGTTCCTCACAGAATATCCGATATTGTATGATCCCACGCGTACTAATTACATCGTACTTACACTATAATTACATATGTAGTTTTAGGGTATTTACGATGTAAGTCTGAAATCTACTTGAGCCCACGTGAGCTTCAGATTGTTCATGTGGTCCGTTTGTTTGTTTTTTGTATTTTGTTTGTGTATATTAATGTCATCCGTTAGATGTTTATCTAAAGGATAAGAAATATGCATGATAGGAGGCTAAAAAATCTGTCACATAAGATATAGCCAGTCCCGATAATTAATGTCAAAACATCTAATGTGATAGAAACTTAAAAGTTTTAGTCCCATCTAAACACGGTCTAACTTAATCCAGGTTGAAAGCAGGCATCATATGTCTCCATGTCACGTCAAGCCACAGAGAACAGGCTAAAAAGGCAGACGGGTCCAATAGTAACGTCGTCAAAAAGGTTGGGCCAGGAAGCTGCCTGCCTGCGGGGCGACACACCAGTACTGTACCGGGAAAGCTTGCCTGCTGCCAATTCTGCCAAGTGCCGAGTGCCAACCTGGGCACGTCCCTCCCCGGCCGCCAAACCGCCGAGAATCCCTCGAAAATCCACGCAGAATTATCGTTGACGCGCACGCCATCGTACGCCCGCACCGCCCCCGCCCACCCATCAGCCGCCCGCAAATCGCAAGCAGCACGGCGTATCAAACGCGTGCGTGACACGAGCGTGCAACCCACGTCACGCTCGCGGCTAGAGACTAGTACTAGCTGGTTCGCTACTAGTCTGTGCGCGCGGGCGGCGGCCACTTGGGGAGGCACAGGTGCGCGCGCGAGGGGGGCAAGCGGGCAAGGGGAACTGTGGCGTGCGAGCGCTTTTGGGCGCAGCCGCACCGGGCTCCGGGTGGGAAAAGGTGGCCGTGCGCCCCCGGGAGGTCTCACGCGCGGCCTCGTGCCGGACGCTGCGAGCGAGCGAGCCAGCCTGCGACGACGGGCGGTTGCAGGTGCAGGGGGCGCATGCCGTTGCGGTTGTCGGGGGTCGGCTGCGGCTGTACGAGTGGCACACGGACAGTACCGTACCAAGTGAGTGCGGTTTTTTTTTTTCTGGAGGGCGGAGGCCCCTGTACAGCACTACTGCTGCTGTACGCACAACGGTGGTAGAGACGTGCGCAGAGTAGAGCGTCAGCAAATCGACGGCGATCTAGACTCTAGAGTACTGCGCCTCCGAGACGTCTCGCGGTGATTTTTGCATGTTGCTGCCCCAAAAAGAGGCAGGTAGTGATTTGTCACTCCGGCTGGTTTGTTTGCTTGGATTAGGCGAGGGTTAATTATTTGAGCAAATCGTTTGATGGGATTTGATCTAGGATAGCTTAAAACTGATGCAATTTTGTTAAGCCTCACTAGTGTGTACGGTGGCTAATATAGTTATATACTCCCTCCGTCCAAAAAAAATTTAAACTAGTATTGGATTAAACGTTTCCTAGTACAACGTATCTGGATATACTCTTGTCCAAATTCATTGTACTAGAAAACATCTCATCCAATGCTAGATTGGTTTTTTGTGGGACGAAAAGACTAACTCTAACTTAAAAATGAAAATATGTACCAAAAGCACCACGCATGAACGAGTAATTTGTATTGACAATACACGAACTTGCGAAACGCTCGTTTAGATAGATGAACTAGCTAGTATGCACCGCATACGAACCAAGGTCAAATAAAGCACTATAGCTAAACTTGTTAAGTTGAACTCTAATTAGGATATCACGCGTGAGGGCATGAGAAATGTTATAATTGAAAATTACCCTTATAGTTTACCTTACCTCTGTTTTTATCACTATAACTCCCTTCTTTTTATACATCTTTTTATATACAGTCAGCATGCATTATTTCTAGATTCTATACATATCTACATGGTGTCATTCTCGTGTGTATGCTGGCGTCATAAATCTCTAAGTCAGAAAGATTAGCTATGGTTTATAATTTTAGTCCTGATTCACACACACCACACATGTTTGTGTACTAGGATGAGCGGCTTACAATTTTGTGTATATATGTGTCATATATTATCAGTGCAATTTACTTATTTACTCCTATACTAGATCAAGTGCCATCAAACGATCAATCAATTCTTCTACTGCTGAGATTCAAAGTTGAAATGACGTAATAAATGTTATTATTCTTTGAAAAGCCTTCAACAAGGAAATACTCCTTCCATCCCATTTCAATCATCACCTAAGTAAAGAGCACATATACCAAGAACAATAAAACATTCATCATTCTGTAATTAATTCTCATCAGTTAAGGTGCTACGTCGCTTCGTGTTTCGTGGAGCATCAAGTTTTAAATATTGCATATAGTTGGACCAATATAAATTACTCATGGTTGGTTGCATGCAGTGCATTCAATGATGCTCATTTACTTTTGGCGCAAAAAAAGATTTACTTGTTAGATGATGGTCATTTTGAGAAGATCTTAAATACCTTATGTAATGATCAAATTGGGATAAGAGGGAGTACTACTTTTTATTGAATGCTTTTCAAAGAATACATAAGAGCACCCGCAATGATAAAGTAAGGTGTTCTCTATAAAAACATGTACATCTCAGCAATAGACTCGATTAATAGTAAAATACCTTAATAGTATGTCTACATTGGTATCTATAGCTCTCTCATGCATTGCCTCGTTTTTCTCTATAGACTATCTCTACGTTAGTAGATAGCTTTGCTCTCTCTCTTCATTTAATACCTTCCAAGTAGGAAAATATGCTGACATAGATCTCTTGTAGAGAGCCTATAGATAACCATTGTGGGTGCCCTAATGTTGCGTTATTGTTACTCCATCAGTCTCATAAATAACAAATCTAGAATATAATGTGACATATTCTAGTGGTCGGAATATAAACGGAGGACTGTCCATAGTATTATGAATATAATAGCCACCCGTCCAGATTTGTAGTACTGGGAAATAGGTCATAGAGAGCATGTTATGTCTAAGATATCGTATGACCTTTTCTTTTCCTTCTTTCTTTTAGGTACTTGCATTTTGATAGGTGTAAAGACTTGATGTACTTAACTTTGTTTCTTAACTAAAACATTCATTATCTTAATAAAAAAAAAACGCCATCGGCAGTGAGGCTGATTTGCTGTGGTTTGCCATAACACCGCCCACACATCCAGATTCCATCAGGTAGAGCATATGGCAGGTGACGCACAGCGAGTCTCGAAGCCGCGAGGAAGCTTCGTCGGCCCGGAGCCGGAGGCGTCCAGCCAGCCTGGCGGCCACGGCGCCGCCACACCGGCCACCTTGGCATCCGTCCTCAAGATCCAATCTACTGTATCTTTTGGAGCTTTGAGCCCAGCCCAGCACAAAATATTCGAAGAGCTCGCTGCTGGGCCCACGCGGCACTCTTTTGTGCCGCTGAGCACCGGGACCCACCTTGATCTGGCCGGATGGGACCACCCATACAAAATTCTCTCCCGTACTTTGAACTCGATTTTGGGACAGGATAGGTGGCCGTGCATACGGTCCCCGTCCTTTGGGCATCTGTACCGTACGGCTCTCACGCTGCTCCTGATGTTCATTAAGGCACTGATCTACTGCAATTTCTGCAGAAGATTAGTACAGTACTATTACCTGTTTCAGCTTAAGATAATGATTTTTGTAAACATGTTTGTTCAGTGGTCCATTGAACGGCTGGTGAGCTTGACAGGCAGGCAGCACATTTCGATTTCTATGAAGAAAGAGTAAACTCAACCATAATGCTAAGCAGGCAAAGCATGTAGTAGCAAGTGCAACGGCAAAGCCATGATACTTTTATTTATCTTACAGCACTGGCTGTACATCTTGTGCTGAGAAGCTGGTTACACAAAGCTTGAAGAAGAGCACACATAGAACAATACTAGTTTTACACATAGTAGTACATCTTGTGCTGAGTTAGCTGGTTTCGTCACAGTGCTTGGAGAACATCACATAACTCCTTCGTGCATGACCAACATCATAACCATTATTTGCCATATCTTTGGGTGAAACATGGCAGCTTAGTCCTCGTTATCCCAGACCTCAGATGCACTCTTGTATGGCCCATGGGTCTTGTTCACGAAGAGCTCCTCTCCTGTCAGGACTCGCTTCTGCAATACCAAGGTCCAATCACATTATATCAGAGAAAAAGATTAGTTGTAGCTAAGTAGACGGGGCTTATTTAGTAGTTTATTATGTGTAGCATATGTGTTTAGTTAAGTCCAGTATTTAAAATTAGATGTCACACCGAACAGATCAAATGATGCTCTATCTGAAGTTCTGAACACCGAAATTTTCTGTGTGAGATGTCTTCCTGGCTAGCCTGGAAGATACCCTGAAGAAACTACTTAAAACATGTAGTAAAGCTGTACAAACTGACGGAATCTTACTACTGCATTGTCACTATGGAGTGGATTATTCTATTGCAGTATATATAGGAATATAGATCCAGATTCCGGCCGTGCAGTGCTGAATTGCCATGCAATGTCGTTGGGTCAAAACTAGCAAGTGATGTTTCACACCTCTACTATACCAAGTTTTCATTTTCTAAGCAGTCTACCATATCAAGAACAATAACATCCACATCAAGCCATCTTTAACAGTAATTTCATTAAACATATTCTCTTTGCACTCAACCTCTGAGCTCTTAGGACAGCTGAGCTACAGTCTACAAGCCCACACGCTACAAACGGGATGCACAAGGTCAATCCTCACCTCATCTTTGATGCCGCACAAGACCTGGAAGTCCTCTTCAGGGATCTCCCATCCAAACACCTGCATATTCTCCTTAATCCTTTCATCTTTAGTTGATTTTGGAATAACGCTTGTTCCCCTTTGGAGAGCCCACTTGATGAGCACTTGACCTGGAGTCTTGTTCAGCTTGTTGGCTATCTGCATTTATATGGTTGTATTTAGCTATCGAGTACACGTAATTGAAGAGCATGCTAACTTTTCATATTGTTTATTCTATCTGAACATTTGTGGATGCTACCTTCTCGACAACTGGATCATGCGCAAGGTTCTTTTCAGAAGAACCCAGTGGGGAGTAGGCCTGCAAAAGTGACATAAATAATTAAATATACAAGAAAAATGTTAAAGAGCGTTTGTTTTTATAACAAAAACATGCACGGAAATTGCATCAGTGAGGTTAGCTTATTGTATCTGATTTTCATAAGAAATTATATCTTACAGTAACATGAATTCCATGTTTTTTGCAGGCCTCGAAAATCTTATTGTTCTTCCAACCAGGGTGCATTTCCATCTGTGAGAAATTCAGTAAGTAAAGGAGCAATCCAGTTATTTCAATATGTTGGAACTTAAATCTGATAGTCCACAACCTGGCATACTGCAGGTGGAATATTAGCTGATTGCAACAGTCTGTTGAGCTTGGTAACTGAGAAATTGCAGACACCAATGTCCTTAACCAGTCCATCTGTCACAAGTCTCTCCATTTCCCTCCATACTGCCTCCATGTCAAACTCCAAGACTTCCCCAGCCTCAGGAGGCTGGTGTGCTCCATCTTTTAGACGGAAGGGCCAATGAATCTGCATCCATTTTATTTTATCACTCTAGGTAAAATTTCTGATTTCCAGTATGCAGTCGAGTAATGAAGTTCTATTCAAAAGAATTTTCGTTTCTTACAAGGTAAAGGTCGATATAATCCAACTGGAGATCCTTCAGCGTGTTCTTTAATGCTGGTCGAACTCTCTCAGGAGCCAAGTTTGTGCACCTGCAGTAACCAAGTATTGATCAAAATTCACATATAGGAAACACACTACAAGTTACTGCATTTATATTTAATTTTACACCAAAGGACAAGTTATTATGATTGTAAATATAATTACCATATTTTTGACGTCACAAACAAATCTTTCCTGTTGATTCCAGCTTCCATCGCAGCTTTAAGCCCTTTGCCGACCTGAATTGCAGAGAATGCTTAACGAAACATCACGCAATAGACTACCAGATAAACATAATATTGTTTTGGTGTACCTCCTGTTCTATTCCATATTGAGCAGCCGTATCTACATGCCTGTATCCAGCCTGCAGTAACCAGATATTCAGATTACATTCTTAGATCAGAAACAGGTTCCGCAGCTGTCTATACATCAGATGAACTTGGAAAGTTTAGCGATATGCGAGCTTAGTGCTATATCAGTGAAGGTCCCATTAGATAGCTTTCAGAAAAGAATAGAGGTTCAAGCCTCAGTTTCAGCTCCAAGACAAGATTGCAATATTCAAGCAGTGTACCATTCTCTCGACCGATCATAGGTAGTATGTTGACGAACATCTCTATGACATGGGCAAATACAGAGCAGTCTATCACACAGAAGATGCGCAGTTACTAGCCCAAGATACTACTGTAGTCTTTTTCGAGATGGTATTAATATGATACTGTACCAAACTACAAATGCATATCCTCGTACCTGGAGATGGTTTACTATTAAGTTGTTTGCAAATACAGACAGAATTGGTTTGCTGGCCATTGCTACTTGGTTAGTATGCTGGACACTTCTACGCATGTAGATAGCCAGATAGGGGAGATATGCAGAATATACCTCAGTGATGGCTGTCTGAACGGAGTGAGCAGTATCTGAGCCGGCCCTCCAAGTGCCTAACCCAACTGCAGGGATGGCATGACCACTCTTCAGAACAAAGTGATGCTCATCCTGCGCCATCGCCTTGGCACTCGCCATGATCGCGCCTTTCTATTACCTTGCTTGTCACACCGTTTAGCTATCTTCACCTTTCTAGACTGCTTTCTTCGCAACTAAAGATGAGATGGATGCAAAACTTCCATATATAGGAAGAGAGTTCAAGGAAGAGATGCCACGTACATTAGTATCCAGGGACACCTGGCGAGGGGTCACAGCCTAAAGAAATCTGTCCCATGCACCGAGCACAGTTGCACTGAAGAACTTGCTAGAACCCACCGTAGCTGGCCAGCAACATATTTAAAGAGAAAAAGAATTAGTTGTTAATAGATAAACATACCAGAAATGGACTTGCTTGCCTACCATCTTTACCAGGGCGATGTCGGACGATAAAATCTGCAAACACTGAAACATCTGGCTCCATAGCAGGCGGAAAGATTTTATTGCAACAGGCAAACCTGCCAAACTTTCTACAGTATGCGATCCTACTAAATTACAACCTGTTTTGAATTACAGAGAAGAAAACGGTTGTTGCTGCAATCCTCAGAAGACTGCAAGTGTCCCCCTTCCAATTTTTACTCTAAAATCACAAGCAGTACATGCATGTACTGTGTTGGGGGTTAACAAGTGATGTACTCCCTAACTCTAAGGAATTGTGATACAAACCTAGCTATATCGTTATGTACTTTGAAGGCATTGTGAAGTAACCAAATCACTAGGTTCAACCACTTGATTGGTTGCTGTTGTCATCCAAATTTTGTACTTCTGTTCTACCATCCTCTAACTGTGATGTTTCAGCGGGTGGTGTGGCTAACTGTGATGTTTCAGCGGGCGGTGTGGCTAACTGTGACGTTTCAGCAGGTGGTGCTGTGGCCTCAACAGGAGGAACTTCCTTGGTTTTTTGTAGTCCAGTATATCTCGCAAGATCAACCCATTGCTGCACCAAACAGAATAACCAGTAAGGAGAGAAGGGATAGGTTTACTGTAAGCTCCTATCTTGTGTAAAATATAAGCTTCAAAACCATAAAAGCACTATGAATATATTAAGGAGTTTAAATGCGTAAATTATCATAGGAAAGCTGCTTGAAGCCTCCGAGGTAAAGCTCAACTAAAATATTCCTTTAATAGCAGTAAAGCTTTAATGGATGTATGTGAATGTTAAGGTTCCTGTGACCATTGATTGAATTAAATAAACAATATAAATCGGGATGTAGGATGGGAAAGTGCAATGCCATTACTCATAGCCAGATTCCCTGAAGAGTTCTTTAGTCTAAAGTGATCTAAACATCTTGAGTCTGCACTATGCTACCAACACAAACATATAACTAGAAATGTGCAGAGAATGCTCAACCTGTGTTCCCCAGTATGAGTTCACTGTCCTTGCCACAAAGGACAACAAACTAGCAAGAAGTGGCTGATTGTAGCTAGTAGCTAGACTCTCTCCTAGCCGATGCTCCACTAAACCAGCAATGATCTGAAACACAATTGTTAGAGAAACTCAGATAATCTGTACCAAACAAAAAAAAAGAAATGCTAAAAAAGAATTGAGTAAATAGTTCCCTAGGTTAAAAGGTTGCTGCATTAGGCCATGTTATGGATTGTGAATATTTCAGTGAACTATGGTTGCAGTGGAAAAAGATAAGAATACATAGGGGAAATTGTATTCTCTGTGTTAAAAGACAAATCGACAACCCTGTGCTCTAATAAAAACAGGCTATATGGCACCATCGTGTAACCAAAAGGAAGTTTTCCTTACACTGGCACCATCAGTCTTTTGGGGAATTTCTGAGGATTCCCTCCTAAAGAACAATCGAAGATGTGTAAGGCAAAATAATTGTACTACGAATTTCTGAAGAGAGAGAGAGAGAGAGCGCTTGCTACTAGTTATGCTTGGTAACATAGTACCATACAGTTGCTCATGCAACTTAGCAACAAAAACCGTCAAGTCCCTCGATTGAAAATAGGAAAAGTTACCTGATACCGCAAGTTTGCTGACGTTCCAAGAAAGCAACTATAAACAGCTGCTGACTTCCAAATAGGAGATCTCTTCCGTCCTGCTTCTGCATTCACTGAAGATTTCAGCACACCTCGAGCAGCATACAGGAGATCCGAGGAAGCTCCAGCCCCCACACTAGAAATAAACCCAACGCTAGCAAGTTTCAAACCACCAACTAACACTGCTGCAACTCTCTGCTTCATATTCCAATTTTGACCCAATACATTCTTTTGGAATGCATTATCTGGCAATGATCCTAAAAGGCCTTTGACGAACTCCAAACTCTCACCAGAACCATCATCAGCATAAGAAAGGACTGAAATAGTAGGAGCAGGAAGCCACACTGTAAAGAAATCAACCACAGAGCCTCTAATTGTATCGGTGAGTACATAATCAATTTCTTCGAAAAATCGCCCTTTCCGTCTTTCGTACTGTGCTAATAGAGTGGTCGTTATTGATATAGCTTCTTCAATAGCCAACCTTTGAAGGAATTTGGGGTCTGCCAGCAATCTTTCACGGAAACCCTGAGGAATTTATTTTATTTATTTACATGGAGTCCCATATGCAGAAATCATGTACAGATATTAAGTTAATGCAAGCATATGTTTCAAGGAGAATTATTCAGAAGCATAGATTAAATGAACTGATAAGGTCTAAGGAGTAAAACGAAAATAATAGAGCAGTTTCTTACTTGGAATCTGTGAATCAGTTCAGACATAACAGGGTATTTCTCAAGGTCGAAAAAGTTCTGCAGTATCTCAGGAGAAACTACACCAAGATCTATTCCTTTCTGAAGATCCTGCAATTTCCAGCAAAACGCAAGAGTTCCATTAGCCAGACTTCTAGTACTAAAAAATGATGCTTACCATTGTATAGAAACATTTTGGCCACAGAAGAAAGCTCCTGCTCTATGACTTACAAGAATTTTTTGGGTCATGTGAAAAAGATGTTACTGCACTGGGCATATTGACTAATGTGATGCATTTTATTAGCTAATCTGTGTCACAGCCAGGGTTCAGAAAATGCTAGAGGCTTAGGTTTTATTGTGCTACCTGTACTACTCTGGGGCACATTTCTGGAACTCGAAAACCAGAATAAAAAGCTTAATACAAATCAACACAAGATATTTAGGTAATCTGAAGGTTTCTTGTCAAATCTTGCTCAGTATTACTCATTCAATATTTCTTCTCCTGAAGATAGTAGGGCAGCAATATCTAGAAGAGCCTGTTCATGGTTACCTTCACTAAATACACGATTTTACAGATTTTTCTCAAAGGTCTATCACGACATGAAGTTAACAAGCAATGGACTAAAACGAAGATCAAGCAGCAAACCTGAGGCAAAGCTTCAGGTCTCCTACCAGCAGCATTCATAACTCGTGCAATTTCAGCACGGTCAAAGCAGTTTCTACTGCAAGGTTTAGCTGCTGAATACCATAAGAAGTCAGCAACCGGGATTTCACCTTCCCTCCTTATGCTTTGTCTCTCAGGATCAAGTAGTACAACAACTTGGTCTTTCTTTGGCATCTTTTTAGATACTCTGGCAGGAACACCGATTCCTCGTGACCCATAAATAACATGGCTTGCACCCGTTATAACAATTAGCATCCTTGAAGTATCCCCGCCATTAAGCTCTTTCAGAATAATTTGTGACATGGTATAATCATCAACTACTCTTGCCTGTGCTGATAAATATGAGGTAGGACCAAAAGGAGAATCACGAGCTGATGAAATTTTGTCTATCAATGACCGGCCTGAGATAGATGAAAAGCCAGAGATGAAGCCAGAGCCTGCTGGAGGGGCATATTCTTGTCTTTCTGCCTTTGAAAGGCCTCTAATCCCATCTGCTTGGACAGTTCTTTTCACCTGCTCAAGAAAGAAGCATAATATTGTACAAGTATGCTGTGATAGAACTTGGAGGTATACAAATAATAAGCCTAAAATTCAATAGAATGCAACATTAAGAAAGTTGTATCTTGATTCTGCAGAGTGAGATTGTTCCATTAGTTCATACCACACTATAACTAATCATGAAAAGCAATTATATGTAACAAGCTGCAAAGAGATTTTCTTGTGCGTGTCAGGAAAATTGATATGTGAACCACCAAAATCTAATTTCAACTTCCAAGACACATGTATTGAGGGAAATACTTTGCAGGCATCAAGCATTCAACAACTTAAATCACTGGTAAAGCATGGCATTGAATATCTAAGTTCATCAACTAGTAGAAGCTATCAATCACCTCAAGTGGAGTTCCGCAAGCAATAAGCTTAATTCCATTATCACGGCAATAATTCAGAAGAGGTTCATACTCCTCCCACCGGTCTTGTGGCCAGTGCAACGTGTACAACTTTAGGATGCTACCATCAATCCTGGATAAAGCATAAGCTTGTCAAAATCTGTTGAAAGGAAATCTTTGTTACTGAACAAATGCATTTACGACATCAAACATGGAATCGCTATTAGGCTCGAACTAAACATGGTCTGCATTGAAATCCAATGTGCCGCCTATGATATTATTTTATTCCATAAAATGACATATCGAGTTATCAATGCGTCACAACTCACAACATGGATTCATCTACAGAAAGTAAACAGGAAAATTTTGTTCTCCCAAGCAAGTGTTCGGATAACTGAAGTGAAACAACACAGAGGAGAGGGAGAACCTTCCGTCCATGAACTGGTCGAGCTGCTGCTGGAGGTCGCAGGGGAACGCCTCGAGCGCGACCGCCACGCCCCGCTCGGCCTCCGCGCACCGGGTCGCGAGCCCCTTCATGATCTCGAGCTCGAGCACGCGGTCGTCGGGGTCGGGCACGAGCTCGGCCTCGCCGAGGTACACCACCCTCGCGGCCGTCAGCTTCTCCCAGACCCGCCCCCTCGCGTCCTTCCCCACAGCCTCCGGCTCCCCGATGACCGTGGCATCGTACACCCTCGACAGCGCCGACTCGTCGACCTCCTCCACCACCGCCCCCGCCTCCTCCGCAGACGGCGGCGAGGGGGAGGATGAATCCGTGGGAGGCGCCTCGCCATCGGCGGCGGAGGAAGGGAGCGGCCGGAGGATGGCGGAGGCGGCGGCGAGCGAGGGGATGAGGAGGAGGAAGTCGCGGCGGGACTGGGAGGAGGCGGCGGAGGCGGACACGTTGCGGCGTGGGGAGGAGGAGATGCCGGCGAGGGGCTTGGCCCGGAGGCGGGAGGGGAGGAGCGGTTTGAAGGAGGCGGCGTTTCGGCACGGCGCGTGTGACATTTTCGCGGCCGAGAGTTCGAGCTTTCTGAAGGGCAGCAAAGGGTTATTACAGACGAGGATGTTGGATAAACACGTTTATTTTGTAGCGAGATCGAATTTGAAGTTTGGTCTAAATCGACCAGATTATGTAGCTCCCAGTGTGGTAATACATCGATAAGATTGAGATTTCGATTGCATATGCATAGCAGCATACAACGAGACAACAGGTAGACTGAAGAAACAATGCTTACGTGTGTGGATAAGCAAAGATACCAGCCACTGGATCTTCAGGCCTCAGCCTTGACAGTCAGAAACGTGTGAAAAAGTGCCTGTTGTATATACCATGGATTGCGTCCATGGCAAAATTCAAACCAGATACATCAGTTTCACGAGGTAGGACCGTAAAATGCACAAGAGATTTCTAGAAGAGGGAAATGGATTTTTGAGAAAAAAAATAAGGGGAAAAATATGTCGTGTATGTCAATTGTCACCGAGAAGCCCATTCGCCCAAACTCTCTCTAACTCAAATGTAGCAATACAATGAACCGCATGGTGGCAAAACTGGGGAGAATCAAGTGTTATAGTCAGCAAATCAAAATAAACCAAGATCCTACTACTAGCTATACACAAGCCGCATCAGTTGCTCCTTTTTGCATACACTTTAGTTTCGTCTGCTACCTTTGCCCACATATTAGCATAATGGTCTGAATATGAAACCTGCACACAGTAATATATACCAATGTTATTGACATGTATACACCTCTTCTTTCACTACGGATAAATACAGTGTAATAATCATGGTGTCTCGCCAAATACTAGTGGAGCATTCTTATACCTGATTTACAATAAATCCCTTCAGCATCTGCACAAAATCTCGACGCCTATCCTTATCGAATCTTTTAATTTCAATCGTATTGTTCTCCTGAAATCATAAAAAAAAAGGATTTGTATGGTAATTTGCACAGCCTGAAAAAAGTACAGGTTGGAAATCCAAAAGGGAGCATAAATATATAATGCTATACTATAAAGAATATGGCCCAAGAAGACGAAGGCCACGTCGCATCCAGGATTTGTAAAGGTTGTACTGCCAGTACAAAACCTAGTAACTAGTATGCATATGCGCTGCATACCTGAATTGCCACTTAAATTTGAGAAAGCTCTTGAAAATTTGGAGGTAAATTTGTATTTGCATATGCTCTATATTGAATTTAACTTGTGTTCTACTAAATTAAACACATTCCATCTTTGTATATTTCCAGTTTAAGCTAATGTTTTCTTCATGGGAATATAAAACTGCATTAACAAGTACAGTACAAAGAAGCTATAAAAGCCAAAAAAAAAGTCCTTGTGAGCAAATGAATTAGTTACTAAACTGCAAGTTAGCTACAATTGACACCATAATAACAACAATCTTAACCTGATTTCCTAGAAAATAAAAATAGAAGAACATTGAATTCACTATCTCAGTATTTCCCTTCTAGTAATTTAAGTTGGTATTTATCAGGCAGCAAAAATATTGCAGGATCCTAAGCTACATAAATGCAGGTCATGGTGCCATACTGCATGACTCATACTGATCTTCTCTGCCAGCAGACTAGCTTAAGTAACATCGGGTATAAAAATGACAAGGATACTAGACAGTACTAAAATTAAATGTGATATCATATTTATATTAAGCTTCAAAAATATGTTTCTTCTAACTAGCAAGACTATCTGACCATGTTTTTGAAATATTCACAAGAATAACCTTTAGCATGATTTATATTGCTAGATGTATTAACCATAGCATATGCGGTTAAATCAAATAGAAGCTATAACTTTACTAAGTACAGTATAAGTAAACTTTCAGTAGTAAACCACAAGATGCAAACCGCATGCCCTTCTGCTTCTACATCTAAAACAACTTATATTTACGCTTTTAGGTGATTTTATTTGATATCAATTCACTTCAAGCTCTCAGGTGATTTACCTTAATATTTTCATATTCTTTAAGTGCGTGGCTTTTCGCTGCTTCTGTTGCACTTATTGTTTCTTTCAATCCCCCTAATTTCTGGTGCCTTGTCCACTCCTGGTCTATACTTCTACTCCTAGATGATACTGATTCAAGTTTTTCTGCCCTGGTGTGCAAGAAAAATAGATCTGCTGACAGACTTTGCACATGGTGTAAAGCATTAGAACGATCAGTAAACGCATGATGAACAGATATCATCATCTCCAAGTATTCATGGATACTACCCTGAAAAAGAATAAATAATATCTTGTTATAATCTAAGACAAAAGCAATTTCAAGGAATGGTACCAAATAACTGCTTGCTCTGTTTGAGTCTGCAGAAATTTTCACATACCAAGTGCTTCACAATTTCAGAATTTAGTTTCGCCTGTGATCTGCTGAACTTGACAACAGAACTTCCAAAATTATTGATATCAGCAGCTCTTCTTCTCTGTGGACTACATGTTGCCTGCTCTCTTTCAAATTTTGCTAGCTTAATTAATGTCATTCCCAAATGAGCTGTAGTTGTTCTAAGATCATCCCGAGCTTTAACTAATGCTTCCGCCTACAGAAAATGGAAATACAGAATTTCAACAACAATAGCTTCATGAACCAATCTGAGGCTCACTGTGCAGAATATTAAAAGAATCCAAAAGGAGAAAGTAATGCAATGCTACTTCTAACTAGGACATCCATTCACCGTAAAATAACACAACTTCATCCTAATAATACTTTTGGAATGCAAAAGAAATATTTTATGTTATTTGCTACGGAACATGACTTCCACAATCCACATCCATGAGACGAAGACAATAATAGTAGCCTTCTGATAAGACAGTTTGGTAACACCATGAAAAACAGTCACTCGACTTTCACTACTTTGCAAAAGGAGAAAAAATAAACATACCTTGAGATCAATCAGGTAAATTACAGGCTAGAGTAAAATATATTGCAAATATGAAGTTAAGATGCCCACACAAGAAAATATAAATGTGTTTGTTTGATGAATATGTGTTCAGGTTTTTTGGCCCATGGCCTCTGAATCTGACTTCAACTTGAATAAAACGGATGCTAAAGTTTTGAGGGGGTTTGGAAATCAGCATGAGTTCTGGACTTCTGGTAATATTACAACTACTCCTGTAGTCCTCCCACAAAATGGGTTCTGGAGTACTAATTAGTGATTTAAAGGGCTTAACTCCTCTAGTCCTTCCACAAAAAGTTCTTCAGATAAAACAGTACACTTGGTACAGAGTTATAACTATGCTGGCAATTCATAAAAACTGCATAAAGAAACATAAATCGCAGAGATGGTCGCATGACACATATTGGCATACAAGTTTCTGTGGTATTGTGGTGGTTATGTAGTTAAAGCATTAGAGGCACAGGGAGTTGGTTCACATGCATTAACATGTAGCTTGAAATCTTTGCGGTGCCATACAACAAATTGTTTGGATTGCCCACACAAAATGTGCTGCCCCTCACGGAGGTAAAGTAAAATTGCACGAACCTGTTGAGATGTTGTGGTGAGCTGCTGCTGTAAATCCTGAAACCTAGCCTTGTGTGCTAGGAATTCAGTGTCAGTCTCCTCCTCCACCGGTGGGGGCTTTGTTGCAACCATCCCGTTCACCACCGTCTGTTTCAGACCCTTAAACATCCCAAACAAGTCTCTCCCAGCTTTTGCCGGAGTCGATGGAGCCGCAGAACTCAGCGTGGTGGTCCAGTACCGGGGCTGCTCGCCCTCAAAGGCAGGGATGGCGCCAGGCTCGGTGAGGAACGTGCGGAGATCGGGGCTGTGGCCGACGACGGGGTGCGCGGCGAGGCGGCGGAGGTAGCGCTGGAGCGCGCTGCACCGCTGGTTCACGAAGTCGTGGCGCTGCATGACCTGCCCCTCGACGACGCTCTTGTCGGGGCGTGCCGGGATGAAGAGCCCGCGGTGGGCCGCGGCGAGGCGGTCCGCGAGGGCCACCACGTCGCGGAAGCGCCGCCGCACGCGGACCTCGGCCTCCCCGACGCGGGTGGTGATGAGGTAGGAGAAGTAGCTCCCGGAGCCTGGGATCACGCCGGCGGCCCCCGACGTGGGCTCCGCGTGCTTCTTCGGATCGGACACGGCGATCCGCGCGAACTCCGGGGCCCGCGCCGCCGCGGCCACCAGCGGGATGGCGGTGGGCGCAGGGGGCCCGACGTCGTCGTCATCCTCCTCGTCGACGAGGAAGTCGTCGTCGATGACGAAGGGGTCGTGGTCCCCACCAGCGGCGGCGGAGGCGGCGGACGGGGAAGCAGGCGGGCGGAGGAGTGGATCAGTGGCGGGGGCGGAGGAGTAGGAAGAGTCTAGGGGGAGAGTTTCGAGGTCTTCAACGGCGGAGGCTGCCGCCGGCGAGGGCTCCGCGGCCATCATGGCGAGGTAGTAGTCAGGTAGGGTCTAGGCCTCTATGGCTATGGGGATTTTTGCGAGAGATCTGAAAACGGAGAGGCGGAGACGGGAGAAGAATCGATCAATCGAACGAACAACGATCGATGGGCGGAAGGTGGACACCGTGCCGTGGTCCGGTGGGTGACTGCGTGGCAGCGTGGGGGTGTCGTAATCAGGAGGGGGCAGGATTAACACTCAATGACATGTGGGACCAGATCACCAGAGTCCATACAGTCTTGCTCTGATCGCAAAGTGAAGTAGTACTCGTGCTAAACAAGATTTCTGATGCCTTTCCATCAGCTCTCCGCAGCGTCATCCTTCTCGTCGATGCTCTCCTCATCGATGAACACTTTTGCAAATTGCAATGGGTATTGTTTGCAGCTGTAGACGGTAGATAGTGTGATTTAGGCTTCGGACACAGTATTTGACGTGTTTTATTGTGAAAATGAGAAATTGCTGCGGATCTATGGTTTGAAGGAACGTAGGATTGCAACTTGCAGATAGGCAGGTCCTGGAATTGCAAATGTTCCGAAATTATTTGTCACGATCAGCGTTACCACTTACTAATAGTCAACTTCGAATTTCACTTACTAATAGTCAACTTCGAATTTCAGGAATCATAACATGCTTCAAACGATCAAAAGATGACATGTTCTATCATCTGCAAGGGTAGGAAAGTATTGTGATTCACGGAATATTGCATGAACAATTATGTTGGCAAACTTTTTTTGCCATAGAAAAGCATGACGTTCAGTCGTTTACCACTAGCAAGTTGATCCCCCCCCCCCCCCTTTTCTTAAAATATCCTCTGTAACTTTCTTTGTAAAACGAACCTCAGAAACGAACACAGTTGGTGATTGCATCACATATGCCATTGCGAGAGTGACAACGATTTTAGGCGCAAGTCCACCCTCTAAAAAGATTATAGAGGATACTCTTCAATACATGCAAGTTATTGTTATCAGCCATGGTATAGTATTGTGATATTCAGCAAGCAAAATCTGCATGCTGTCACACATGATCCATAACATTCTAATTTTTGTGCAAAGCTCTTTCAGACATTTCAGGCATAGTTCAATAAAGGAATTGACAGTTTAGACACAGGTGACCAAACATTAACAGAAATTCATTGCCATTAGGAAGTTTAGCATCCCTTGAGCCATTTACTCCTACTGTTTCTGAACACATATGGGGCTATCACAACAAAACACAAAATATCGATGCTCACTCATCTCTGTTATCCTCAAAACAAAAGGAGAGACCCAGAAAAGCCAAGCACAGAGCTCCACTGGAAGACAACTCAGGAAGAAAATAGCAACATTATAACGCAATCACAAAATGTTATTTAGACAATGCTGATTCTACTAGCATGACAAACTTCAAAGTTAGAAATTAATAGATGGTCACATAGATGGCGGGCATTATTATCCCACCGCTCCACGAGAATTGGTGTTGTTTGGAATGATTTTAAGTACAAGTCCACCCTCAAAGTATTGAATAAGAAATTCTTCAATAGATGCAAGTTATTATCAGTTATGGTATATTGTGATATTCAGCAAACAAAATTTGCAGAGTTATATGTAACCCATAACATTCTAATTTATGTGCAAGCTTTCAGACATTTCAGGCATAGTTCACTAAAGGCATTGACAATTTAGACACAGGTGATCAAACATTAACAGAAATTCATTGCCATTAGGAAGTTTAGCATACTTGAACAAATTTACTACAACTGTTCTTCAATTCATATGGTCTATCACAAAGCACAAAATATTGATGCTCACTCATTTGTGGCCCTCAAAAACAAAAGGAGAGACCAAGAAAAGCCAAGTACAGAGCTCCCCCTGGAATGCAACTCAGGAAGAAAATAGCCAACATTGTAAAGCAATCACAAAATGTTAGACAATGCTGATTCTATTAGCATGGCAAGCTTCAAAATTAGAAATTAAAATAGATGGTCACATAGATGGCAGACATTATTATCCCATGGCTCCACGAGAATTGGAATGGTAGAATTTAGAAGGATTGAGCTATCTTGTGATTTTTTATATATATAAAACTACTGTGTTTGAAAGGAGCCCCACATAAACAACAAAATATCAGGAAATCCTCAAATATTCCGCATGATTCCACGGCATTTAGCCTTTGCTTAGACAAAAGGAACCATTCATCCACATGATAAATTTCCACAGGCACATCATTTGAATGAAAAGTGACAATGCACAGCTGAACCATCATATATTCTTCTCTACTATTTAAACAGTGATAAGTCGACATACTCTTCATACATTCATGCTAAATTAATTCAAAACAATATAAGGTAGTAATTTTAACACTAAATCTCGTCAAGAGACTCAATATATTCAGCACAACTTCGCAAAGTGATACATCGATCCAAAATATAGGTAAACAAGTAGTAGATCTGTAGCTACGGATTGCAGAATGATGAATTAGAGAACAAATGTGATATAGATCCAACGAGATCAGATCCAGATCAATTACAGAGTAACGCGAAACACTCGAGCCAAAGAAGCCTACCAGATCTCGTCGCCCGCCGCCGCCTCAAACCCTAGATCCGGGCGCCCCGAGGAAGGACAGGAGACCCTGGGCCGCGCTGTTGCCGCTGGCGGCGTCAGCGTCGTCGAGGAAGAGGTCCTCGGGCATGCGGCACGCGCCGTGGACGGCGACGATGGCCCCGCCGACGAGCAGCCCGGAGATGATGAGCGACGCGACGGAGGTGAAGAAGAAGGCCACGAACGACGCGACGACGAGGCCGAGCAGCGTCTCGCGGTCGGAGAAGGTGCGACCGAAGAGGACGACGGGCTGGTCGGAGCCGCGGAAGAGGTAGAGGAAGCACCAGGCGGCGAGGAGGCCGAGGAGGACGAGGAGCGAGAAGGGGTGCGCGAGGAGGGACGCCCCGAGCGCGAAGGCCACCACGGCGGCGTAGTTGACGCGGAAGTAGGCGAGGTTGCGGCGGAGGCGGGAGGTGGCGTCGGAGAGGGAGTCCGGCCGCGAGAACGCCGAGCGGTCGACCAGCTCCGTCCACGGCCGCCGGTCGGACAGCGAGCGCCGCGCCGAGTCGGAGAGCTTGCTCAGGAAGAGCCGGAACGCCGGGGTTGCGATCGGCGCGTCAGATCCCACGGCGGTGGCGGCCGGGGACGACCCCGCGGCTGCCGGGTTGGTCACCGGGAGGAGCGGCGGCGGCGTCGGTGCTGAGGAGGCCATGGCGATGCGGAGCGGAGAGAAGGGAATCGATCGGGGAAAAAGGCTTCTCTCTCGGCTCTCGCGGTTGCGGTTGCGGTACGGTGGTTGCTTTGCTTTCTCTTCTTCTCTCCGCGTTGAGTTGCCTGCTCTTATGCAGGGGCTGTTTGGTTGGTGGCCTCAATTTGCCACACCAATTTTTAGACGTGCCACAATTTTTTAGGCTAGTGTTTGGTTGCGTGCCGCAGTTGAGTCAAGCCACACTTTACTAGCACATTGACCCACACGTCATACTCTTATTTGCTAGCCAAAGTTTGGCATAGTTGTGGCCACACTTTGTGTGGCTTGCCACAGTTATGGCAAATCGAGCTATGGCAAAGTTAGCCTCCATCCAAACAGTCCCGCAGTCTTGGGTTTTTCCTCTGTCGTGTACTTGTGTCAATGACGGTGGGCACAATGTAAACACCGGGTCCACATGTCATAGGTAGACCCCTCTTCTTCATGTTCTGTTGATGAGGCCCCGGGTTTGTTGGGATGAACGCTTCTTTGCTGGTGGACCGTGGAACTGGTCCATATGTAGCTGTCCGTGACGGCCATGTGAACATTTGTTGGGTCGGCCCGGCCCAGCCTGGCCTGAATTTTCCTAAGCTTGGGCCTTGACTTTTTTGTGTAAGGAATAACTTGTCAACGAATCTAATTCTCATCCTTTAACAGAAAAACCAGATACAACTAGATACAACAAGTCCCTCAACTATTAAAAACCAGTGCAAATGAGGTCCCTCGCTGATTTGGACAGCGGTTTTGACTGACGTGGTGACTACGTAGCTAATTTGACTCGGTCTTCATCTAACGTGGCATTGACGTGGCAATTCGATCCAGAAAAATAATAAAGCCGTGGGACCCCATATCAATTTCACATGCAAATTAATAAAAAAATGGTGGGGGTCCACGTGGGCCCCACCGTCTATCCGCAGGGTGGCGTTACTTGTCGCGCCGAAGTCACATTGGCCAAGGGAGAGTAGCTGCATCATGTTGCAGCTGCCGAAGAGACCAGCAATCGCGTCCTCCTCGAAGCCGAAGGTTTTGCAAGGTGAGGCTGGTGAGGCACCTGAACGGGGCCGGGTAAGCGTCGAAGAGTGACTGGAAGCGTTGTCCGAAGAGGCGCCTCTGTTCGAGGGTCGCGGCGCCGGCAGCGACCCGATCGGTCCACATGTCCATCTCAAGGCTCTCCAGGCTGCTGTTGCTGCCGTCAAGGAGGAGGTCGTCGACGGCGCGGGCGACGGCGTGCAGCAGGTAAGGCTCCGCGATGAGGAAGCTGAGGGACACGCTCTTGATGGCTCTCTCCGCGCTTGGAGCCAACAACCACCTTGTCGCGTTAGCATACGCCGACATGATCCGGTGTCTGTCGTCCGACGAGGAGGAGTCGCCATGGTCATGCGGCATGAAGTCTGCGACATCGATGTCAAGCCTATGGGAGAGCAGATGAGGGACGCGCCTCTACCGCCGGGAGAGGACGCTCGCTCTGACAACGTCCCGCAGGCCTAGGCCTCCGACAATGACGTCGTCTGGGAGCGTGCTAAGCCCATCTTGACCACCATCTTTGCCGCTTTCGAGAAATGCCGTCGTCATCTCCCGATCGATCCGGAATTGAGGAGGACTTGAACTGAGTGATTATCCGCCCATCTGCCCTATAATAATTCACCGTTTCAATTTACTCATCTCTCATCCGTACACTTTTACATCTTACCAATGATGTATTCATCTATCCTATACCAATGATCTAAATTTTCTCCACTCCCTCTCCGCGTCGCACCTTCCCGTTCCCCGTTCCCTGTTCCCCTCTGCCCGCGTCCCTCTCCCGTCTCGCTCTCCTCTCTCTCTGAGGTTTTTCCTTGCATTTAAAAAGATAGTGTCTGCCTCTGTGCCACTAAAAAGTTCGAGCCTCCCTCTCTGTCATCGTCGAACTTTATCGTGTCCTCCACACCATTCCGTATGTTTTTGGTCGTAACGGTGGGTAACGGCGTAGCCAAATTACTTAGTTGCCCTTAGGCTTGAGAGGCCATTTGGTCCAATATGCTCTCTCCTAGCACTCTCCTCTCTCTCCCCTCAGATGCAGCAACAACAAAGGAGCGGGAGGGGAGAAGACGGCGGTGGCAGCATCGCTGCGACGATGACGATGACGGCGGCGACGACAGTGCTGGGCGACCCCGCTGCTCTCATCGTTCCCGTCCACGGCCGTCACCGGGTGTGTCCCCACCCGTGCAGGCCCGGAAGGTGGATGACGACGAGGCGCTCCTTCGCGTGCCCCCTCCTCCTCCTCTCCGCCCCAACCCCGTCGCTGTCCTTTCGCCGCGGGCCTAGCTCCGCGTCTCTCATCGCCGCGAGCGCCGACGCTGCCTCGTCGAATGCCTCCTCCCCCCGCCTACACCACCGACCGTTACGACGGCCATGAGACGGTGCAGGCAGAGGCGCAGCGCCGCCGCCGCGGGGGTCGACTTGGCCATGGGGCTAGCTGCTGGTGGTGGTCGCGGTCGGGCCGCTGCGAGGATCGGAGGGTATGGGCGTAGTGGTCGCCTTGGCGTCACGGGGAGGAGGGGGAAGGAGTGGTGGTGGTGGGGAGGAGAGGAGAGGAGAGGAGGAAGAGGATTGAAGAGAAGGGGTTAACGATGATCGGTGAGCAGCCGCGCGGTGAGGGCGACAGCGAGCAGCGAGCTACGAGGCACGGTGAGACGGCGGCATGACGCTAATATCTCAACGGAGAGAGGGGGATCGAGGGAGAAGAGAGAGAGAGAGTGATTGAAAGGGCACGAGCGATATTTTTCCTGTCTGAACCCACATGTCAGAGCTGCCAAACGGTTAAACCCAAACAGAACAGTGACAGGATGGTGTGGAGGGCATGATAATGGCACAATGGCAGACACCATCTTTTAATGGCACACATGTCAGAGCTGCCAAACGGTTAAATCTAAACAGAACAGTGACAGGATGGTGTGGAGGGCATGATAATGGCACAGTGGCAGACACTATTTTTTAGGGTGTGTTTGGTTCTTGGTCAAGATTGGATGGGATACGGCGGTCCATATTTTGCTAGATATGGCGGTCCAGTATTTTGTTTGGTTGTGTGAATATGGCGATCCAATTTTTTGTTTGGTTGTAGGGACAAAGGTGGATTTGGTGATCCAATTTTTTGTTTGGTTGGAGGAAGTATGGTGGATTTGTAGGTGTGGTCACCTCTCACTTGAGATGGTGAATATACCTCATCAAATTAATACATAATACACATTCCATTATAAATACACACTCCATTATAAATACACACTCCATTATAAATACACATAGAAAAAAAAAGAAAAAAGAAAAAAAAAAGCAGTGCCAGATCTGGGCTCGCCGACGCCGTTGGCAGCCTCCTCCTGCCGGCTTCCTCCCGCCGCCGGCCGCCTCCTCCCACCACCGCGGCTCGCCTCCTCCCGCCGCCGCCTTCCTCTCTCGTCACCTGTGCCGGCCGCCGAGCTCGTTGCCTCTCTCGCCGGCCGCCACGCTTGTCGCCCGCGCCGGCCCTCTCGCCGGCCGCCGAGCTCGTCGCCTCGCTCGCGTCGTGGTGGTGAGGGGTGACGCGAGTCACGCAACTCGCTTGCCCGGCTCGCCCGAGCCTCGGGCGGTTGCATCCGGCCAAATCGGCCAGATCCCTCTATCCAGCATCTGGAGAGAATATTCTCCTCTGGGCCGCCCTATCCCACTCTCGCCCAGCATCCAAACACCCTCCAAAAAGCGGCGGCTATGTCCTATCCGGTTATATCCCACCAACCAAACACACACAGGTGAAAAAACCTCTCTCCCTCTCGCACGCCCTCTCCTCTCGGTCGCCGCCACAGCAGCCCCGATCCACGCCGCTGCCGCCAGACGCGCCCTTCTCCTCCCTCGCACGCCGCACGCCTCACCCTCACCGCCACCCCGCCGCCGCCGATCTACACACTCGCCGCCCCCGCCTCCGCTCCCACACGCCCTTCTCGCCCCTCGCGCACCGATCTCCGCTGTAGTTCTCCGCGCCGCCCCCGCTCTCCACCGCCCGAACACAGTCGCTCGCCTCGCCGGTCTCCACTCCGCCTCGTCATCCACTTCCACTCGCCCACCGCCGAAAGGTACCGTACAGATATCATCCTCCTCCCCAATCAACCAAAATCATATAGGCATCATTTATGTTTTTCCATTTCCCCTTTTTCTTCACAAGACAATAAAAAAATGTTAAGTTCAGATTACATCTTATTTCCATTTTGTGATATAGGTTAGATGACTTGCACTACAGCTACATAAATTATTTCTGAACAAGTAATTTGTGATTACATCTAATTTCTGATACATATGATTCAGTTTCTTGAACCATTGATTTTTATTCTTGTCATCTCGAATTCTCCATCGATTATTTGATCTGCATGCAGTTATATATGTGCACGATATGTAAATCAATATATGGCAGGATCGATGCGTACACTCGATCGACTATTTGCAGAGACGTGTTTGCCTCGCACACAAGCATCCCAATGCAAATTAACTCAGCTTATCATTTTGATCTAACTATGCATTGATTATTTGGGGATTCCTGTTTTTCCTCATGATGTTGATGTTAAAAATAGGTCAGCGTCACTGGAATTTAGGCTTTCAATAAAGATCTCCTAAGGCATATCAAGGTGACTCTATAAACTGCATCTGTAGGTCCTCGATAAAATGCTGCCTACTCTATCTCCTGCTCTTTATTCCTCCTATTGATGTCAACAGGATGTGAGGACTACCATGTCAACAATGTTTCCATTTTGCGCATAAGATAGCATGTGAATTGTGCTTACATACGAGCTAAGATTTGACCTGTGATTTGTGTGAATGAACGCCAATTCATCTTTGAGAAACATTAAAGTGTACCTACAAAATCCTTCAATGCCTGACTTTGTGTTTATACAACTTGGACTGAAACAACACTTTTTTAAAAAACTGAAATGTCAAACGTTTCCTTGAGCTATGCCGTTTCTTGATAATGTAGTTCTGCCATATGAAGCCGTGCACTTTTGCCATATGAGGTTAACAAAATGATATCAGTGATTGCCTCCATCCAAATTCCTCTTTTGCTCGATTGGCTCATGTGATGTTAAGGATGAATTGGACATATTGTGGTCTACTGATCAGTTTGGATAAAAATATGTTGGCCTACTGTTTAGTTTGAAAAAAAAAAGTTCTTCTGATAATTTATTATTGAAACCTAATGATATTATATATTGTACAACAAGCTGATTCTGATATCTACTGTTTGAATTATTATTGGTCATTCTGAGTACAGGAGTAGATCTTCTGAATTCCAAGAGGGATCTTTGTAGCTCTCATTTTCTTTGTACTTTTATTTTGCAAGAGCTAACCTATGATCTATTACTGGGTTCATACTGAATCTCATCTTATCATTACGGCAATGTTGTTCATTTCCAATTCTTAAACTTGCTAATTTCTTTTCAAACTTTGGCGACATAATAGGCTCACGGGCAAGGGATCTCCCTCACAGATTCTTCAAGGAGGAGGGACTGCATACTCAGGTACACCATACATATAAGCAAACTAACTGAAATCTACACAAAAAATTAATTTTCTAACATCTGGTCGTCTGGGGTAGCAGCAAATTAAGAGCCATGTGAAATTAGTTGTCTCCTGCCGTTGTTGGTATCCAGGTCAAAAGATATAGTACAGGTTCACTCACGGGCTGCACTTTTCTTTCTCTCTCTCTCTCTCTCTCTCTCTCTCTTTTGGGGGCACTCATGCGATGGCTCAGTAGCCATAGCCACTCTTTTTTTAGGAAGAAGAAATTTTGTGTCTTGCTCCTAGTCACAAGGTAAACACAACATTACAAGATAACAGGATGTTTAATAGCCTTGGGTGCTTGCTTGGTTTTATTATTTTCAAATTTTAGTAGATTCATCAACTCCCCAAAAATTCTGAAAATCCCCACTATTTATTGGATCCAAGTACTTGGATCAAGAGAGTGACTGAACTTTTCCCTAAGCTGGCTGTAAAATGCAGTACAAACTGCACACACTTTTGTTGGCATCTTGGCTTCTACCAATGCTTCTTGTTGGAAGTGTTTGATGCAGAACTAGAGAATTTTTTCTTTGGCATTGTTGCAGATTATAATCAGCAAATATGAATTTCTTTTACTGGAAATCAGCAAATTTGAATTTAAGGTTTGGTTTTTCAAAAAAACAGTTGTCACTGTCATTCCTTTTAATTCTACGTGTGAATCTTAAATATATCGTATTATATGAGTGATCGTTCATACATATATCTTATCTTCTCTTTCTTTTTTTTCCATTATTGAGTATTGCCGTAGCGTGGTGCCGCCGCCCATCCTTGAGTATCCACCGTCACCGACTACCCTTCTCTGAGCGGGTGCAAATCCTGCCAATTGACCCCATCTCAGGTATTCACCCCCAACCCATCTAAATTTCATCTTTTCTGCCGCTAGGGCTTGCCCGTACAGGGAATTATGGGTTTCCTTCAATAAGTGAACAAGAATATGGTTTCAGTAAAAAAATGTTATCTTGCAAAGTTATTTCTTTGCAGCTAGCAGAGTAAATTCATGCAGTCATTTATGTTTTCTCTAGCAGAAGAATAAAATCCTACAAACTGTAAAATAATTTATAGGATGTAAGGCATTTAATACAAAGGAAATTCAGGTACACATATATGGAATTGTAGATTAATGGATCGATCTACCGTGCATATCTCTTATTTATTAACTTCCGCACATTTCTACCCATCATATATATCTTGTACATTAACTAATGTTATTGGCGCTCACATTTTTTTCCGCCAATGTGGCTTACATGTTTAGGTTCAAAGTTCATTTATATTACAAGAAAGAGAGCTCTGGTACAAATTAAATTCTTGTAGACCTCTCATGCTGGGATATGCCTAAACAGATCAATGATAGTAAATACCCCCTCCCCCACAAAACCCTGTTAGGCTTAATTATATTTCCTCAAATGCTTATCATTCAATTTCTGACTTCTGAAGGGCTGATCCTGACAGATGGCTACCTGGTAGCTGTAGCAGTACTTAAGTACAAAATGTTAAGAGTATAATCTATTTATATATATCTATTAATTTTTACGCCGTGAGCTCTTCAATCTGGATATTTCTGAGTTTCATCTATTTCTAATATTCAAATGACTGTAGTGGGCATCCGTAGCAAAGTATGATAACTAAGTCTGCCCGACACAACAACGTGATTCTGAGATTGACAAGGCTAACCCCATAGTCTTCTACACTATTTTTTTTTGGTGTGTTGTTTGTCAAAAAATAACTATGTGATCTGGTAGATGCACTTAATCTGAAGTTATGTGAACTTAATCTGAAGTTGTGCCCAAATACTGTGCAATAGTGCCGATACAGGAAACTCTTTTAGTAAATAGAACCATTAGCTGCTTCAATTTGGAGGAGTACATGTACTTTCCTATTATATGCTATCTAGCTTGACAAAAGACTAGATCTGCTATCTAAATTACTGGAACATATGCAGATAACAACTTTTTCTCCACACATCCGCATAATAATTTGTGCACCTTGCAGGTTGTCCAAAAAAAAAAAGAGTTGGAGAAACATATAGATCGAGTCTTGAATAAGAGAAACATTAACTAGGGAATTCATTTAGTTTTCTGACTGATGTATTCTTCGGTGGGAGGGAATAAAATTAAACAAGTATATATTGACGTACACACATATTAGCCATTGATATTGGGGTATGCACATACACACATAATGGCCATTGATATTGGTTTATGCACATACACACATAATAGCCATGACAGTATCACTCACTATCAACTGCATTTGAAGTTTAATTTCAGAATTATCTCATCTTATCATTACGGCGATGTTGGTCATTTCCAACTCTTAAGCTTGCTAAATAAAATGAAAAAAAAAACTTATCGGTACGGATCAAAGGTCTCCAATATAAGGCCCAGCTTCTTGCTAGGCCGCTTGGCCTGGCCTATACAAAACAAAAGCCTAAGACGCTCCCACCCTAAAAAGCCGCGTTCCCTTCAAGAAAGCGTAAAAGTTTGCGGCTGAAACTCCATGCTCGCTTTTGCTTCAGGAGAACGTAGAGCCATGCGGTTCCGTGTAGTATTCCTGTAGTCCACTCCTGCAATCCACCCGCCCTCTGTTTTGTCAAACTTCTCATCTCCCCTTCCCTTCCGCCGCCATGCTGCCGGCCGGTAGCCTCACCGACAAGCAGCTCCACTTCTTCGACGCCAATGGTAAGCGCCACCCACCGCTCATTCCCCTTCCCTCCTTCTCCGCACCATCTGGTCAGTGTCGCTCCCAGCAATCGGAGGCAGCGAATTGCCCAGCTAGAACTATGTACGAGGTGACCTAAATCCTTGTCGCGCGTGGGGGCTCTCGTTGGTCGCAGGGTACCTTGTGCTGGGGTCGTTCTCGAGCGCGGAGGAGGTGAAGGCAATGAGGGACCGCATGGCGGTGCTCATCGACGGCTTTGACGGCGCTGGCGACGTCTTCTCCACAAAGGATCATGTATGTCTCGATGGGGGAAGATATTATTTTCCCCTTTACTGAATAGCTTTCTCTGTATGCTTGTCGTATGTACATTATCCACAGGAGTAATTTCTAATCTCACTTCTAGATTTGATTGCCAGTGGCACACGCATCACGGTTTGAACTTAGTGTTACATTGTTTCCCAATGCAGCGGCAGGTGAAGAATGACTTTTTCTTCAAGAGTGCGGAGAATATCTCTTTCTTCTTTGAGGGTAAGTGAATTTCATCTCTTGGAGTTGTGGAGTTAATATTCAGTAACATTCATCAGTTATGCTATCTGAACAAGGAACTGGTTGGTAGTTAAAAAAAAACAAGAAGATAATGTGTAGTTAGTAGTTACAGACCTATTATTGTCGAACTGTTCTTCTGGTTCTGTTGTTGATTTACAATGGCAGCATGTGGAGGTTTACTTGGATTTGGATAGTGATTTATATTTTATATATTTTCCTGTTTCAATTACTCACAGAAAAGGCATTTGGAGATGATGGATGCTTGAAACAGGCAAAGGAACTTTCAATTAATAAAGTTGGGCACGGTCAGTATGCCAAGTAGAAATTGGTTATACATGTGTGTAGTTTGTAGAATGATTGATTGAGTCTTGCAAGATTATTGTGTTGTTCATGTTGCATGGGTTGGAACCAGATGCCACTTGCTATACAAGTTGTAAATTGTCTAGCAGGATGAGTTGTTGTGAGAAACAGTCGGGGATTTTCTTACTTAAATATAGAAGTCGAAAATTGTAATAGACTTCTCTGATTGCTCAAACAAATATTTACATTACATCTAGGCCAAAAGATAACAAAGCTACATCCTAAACAAGATTGCATTCGATCCAGAGGTGCTGGTGGAATAGTCTTATAACCACTCATGTAGCACTTTTGTGGATAATACTGTTCTTCTGAACATAAATTTTATTGTTCAACCTTGCTATTTCTGCTGTTTGCATTTCCATTAATCTGGGTTAAGACAAATTTTCTTGAGTTTGGTTTATTTTTGAATTTGCCTGTTTGGTTGCTATTTTCTAGTTAACGTTAGTTAGTATTTTCCATGCTTTGAAAAGCTTATATTGTTTGTATACTTGTATATTTATAACAATATATCTTGAGGTATTGCCATTCACTGCTCAGTAATTTTTGCAGCGTTACATGAACTTGACCCTGTGTTCAAAAAGTTCTCTTTTGGAGAGAATGTTTCCAGCCTATTCTCTTCTTTACGCTACAAAAGACCTGCAGTTATTCAATCTATGTACATCTTTAAGGTATCTTGATCAGTCTCTAGTTTCTTGTTGGCATTGACTACAACTTTTATTCCTTATTGGGTTAATTTATCCACAACTCAGCAACCAGGCATTGGTGGCGAGGTGGTGCCACACCAGGATAATACATTCCTATATACAAACCCTCCATCATGCACAGGGTTGTGGCTTGCACTCGAAGATGCGACAAAAACGAATGGTTGCCTATGGGCAATTCCTGGATCACATAAAAGTAGATTTTCGTACCAAATTATTTCATGTCAAGAATCCTCTTGTGGTTATCTGAGCTTCTGATTTGATTATCATTTGCAATGCTTTGCACCAGATGGTCTGAAAAGGCGAATGATCAGAGATGAAAATGATACTCATTTTGATCATCCTTCGCCAACCTATGATCTGAAAGAATTTGTGCCATTAGAAGTAAAGTCAGGTGATTTGGTGGTTATTCATGGAGATCTTGTACACCAGAGGTGAAGTTACCCTGTTATATTGCATAGCTTGCAATCAACTGCTTCATTTTTTTTACTAATATGTTTTAACTTTTTTTGACAGCTTTGAAAATCTTTCTCTGGTGTCAAGACATGCACTGAGCTTACATGTAATTGATACCGAAGGATGTGAATGGTCCAAACAAAACTGGTTAGTTTATTTTAACACTTTTGGAGAATTCAAAAGTTAAAATTCTTATTTGCTCTAGGTGGTCTTTGCATCACTTACTGTCCACAGTAGAAATCTAGAATTGCCTAGAAACAAGCTATTCTACTTCCAAGCTTGTCCTAAATTGCTCAAACCAAGCTACTTGCTTTAGACTGTATAATCTTATACTGCATAATCTTGTACTTGATACTGTATGATAGTTTTGGCGTAGCCTGTAACACAGGACACATATTGGTTACCTGTACCTGTATATGTTGAAACAAGGTATTGTGCCGCTGTTTGTATTTTTACGAATGGGAATGATGTTTTACTTTATCTTTCCTGTCAATCACTTACGAATGGGAATGATGTTTTGCTTTATCTTTCCTGTCAATCACTTAGAAACTCCGAAGACAGAAATTTATTGGTGTCCTTGTTTACGTCACTGTTAGCAGAAAAATTGTCGATAACAAGAACTCCATCTTAAACTTACCTGCTTGCTCTCAATTTTGAAGTGGATACTACACCAGTACACCTCATAAAACATCGTAAAATTATAGCTATCGATGTTTCATAAACTTTTCCACCTTTATTTAAATTTTGCTAACAGGCTTTTTTATGCTTGCTCAGGTTACAAAGGAAAATCCCACCTCAGCCACTTTATGAAAATTAGTACAAGCAGTTACCTATGTGTCAAATAAACGAGTGATGACCTAGAAGCAATGGTCAGACAATGTAAATACCTTGCTACTCTGTTTTCATGGATGTTTTTTATGGCAATAAATTTGGTGTACGATGTTGAGTAGCTATGCTTTTTTCCCCGTCTTCAGACACCAAGTCACACAACTACGTTGCTACTCTGTTTCCAGGGGTGGTATTTATGCCTAATAAAATCTATCTCCAGTTCTTAATGTTACCAAATGGCGACAGCAAATCAGCAATGCTCGTCATATTTTCAAACAGACACTGATTGTCTGATTAGCCCATTGTTCGGTGAATCGTGGAAGCGGAGCAACATTTCTTTAGATTTGTTTCCACTGCTGTTCTTGCCTGATTTTTACCATGTCGTCTGTAGCTGATCCTAGGAGCAAGCGGTCCAACTCCGGGAGTATCTGCCGTATGGTTGTTACAGTTCAACGGGACTAATAAACAGTATTGCAAGTTAGGCTGTTAACTAATCACATGGTCATAACATGTACTTCCTCCGTCAAAAAAAAATGCAAATCCTAGGTTTTCGTGTCCGTCTTGTATGAAATTTTTTTATAATTCGTATTTTTATTGTTGTTAGATGATAAAACATGATTAATACTTTGTGCGTGACTTGTTTTTTTTAATTTTTTTCATAATTTTTTCAAATAAGACGGACGGTCAAACGTTGGGCACGGAAACCAGGGTTTGTCTTTTTTTTTGGGTACGGATGGAGTATTATTGCATTCTCCTTAATAAACACAGCTCTCAACGACTCTGTGTTAAGAAATCATGCATAGTTTAAATACTGTGCATCAGGATATCCTCAATGTTTATGCAAAAATAAAGAGTAAGGTGAGCTCGTGTCAGATGCTACAGGACACTTAAAAAATGTGTAATTAGCTGGTAGACACCGCAAGAACACGAATTTGCTGTCGGACACAAAAAAAACTAGTAGTAATTAGCTATCGGACACTCGCTGCCTTGTTTTATTATTTCCAAAGGAATTGGAGAGAGATACTCATTAAAGACAAGTTTGCCCTTGGTCGACACACTGCAATGGCGAAGGTGGCCGGAGAAGGTGCAGAGCGAAGCGACAGCAGGCAGAGCCGACCGGCGGAGTGGTGGCGGGCGAAGTAGGCCGATGAAGCTTCTCGAGTTTGCGGTGGACGCGCTTGCGCTTCTCCTCCTCAGATTTGGTGGGTGCCTCGGTGGCGGCCCAACTCTGCAGCTCCTCGGTCTCCTTGAGCCGATGTGCCATCTCCGCCTCCCACACCCTCTGCGCCTCGTCCTTCCCATGGCTCCCTGGCCTCCTCGCCGCCTGCCCCATGCACTCGAGCACCTCCATCTCCTTGGCCTCCTTGAGCCACCGCGCCATCTCCGCCTCCCACTCCCTTTGATGCGGCGGTAGAGGAGGGGATGTAGTGGCACGGGGAGAAGTCGCAGTGACACCTTCGCAGGCGGTGGCATTCCTGGGTGGCCGCGGAGTGGTCCCCGTTGCCCCCGGTGTAACGCCTCGATTTTCGTTAGGGATTAAAAATCATTAAATAATGTATTTTCTAGAAATTAAATAAAAGTTAAATCAATTTAATCAAGTGAAATAATGGGAGAATTAAAATTTTCCCTTAAAAATCATTGGCCGGGAATTTTTCCTAAAAAATTTCCCGCGAATTTTCGGAGCTCAATAAATAATTATAACAATACAAAGTTCATATAATCAAATTAAATAAAAAGAAAAGCAAATAAATTCCCCTTCCCTCCTTTCGGGCTCGGTCCAAGTCCTCCCCTCAATCATCTCGCTCGGCCCCCTTTCCCTCTAAAGTCTATTGGTCCTCCCCCAACCGGCCTCCTCTCTCCCTCTCGCGACAGGTGGGACCCACGGGCTGGCAACCGCCGTGGCCGCCCGAGCCACCCACGTCGCCGCCTCCTTCGGTAGCCTACAGCCTCTCCCGTGTGGGCCCGGACCGCGCCGCCCCCCTCCTCCACCTCGCCGCTCGCGTCGCCCCACTCTCCTCCCCCACTCCCCCGCGGAATCCGGAGCCTCTCACTCTCTCTCTCTCTTCCCCATGTCGCCGTCGGTTGCCGCCCCAAATCGGCCACGATCCCGTCGCCCCGAGCCAATAAAAAGGATGCTCGGACCTCCCTCTCCATTTTCCCCTCTCTCCCGAGACTTCCCGTGCTCGAAATCCTCCGCGCCACCGCGCTCCCTCTCTCCGCCGCCCGCCGGCGATCTTCAGCCGCCAACCGCCGCCACCCTAGCCACCGCCAAGCTGCGTCGCCGTTGTCGTCGCCGTCGGCATCGCCGTGCCGAGATCCACCCGGTCTCCACTCCTTTTTCCTCTTCCACCCCCCGCAGCGCCATTCTCACTGCGAGGCCGAGCCATCATCTCATTTGTTGTCTCCAACCGCGTTGCGCCGCCTCCTCGATTGACGCCGCACTGCGCCGTTGCCTTCCCCGGCACCGCAGCCCTCGTGTGTAGCTCGGCCACTCCTCTGTCTCCGCGAATCGTCGCCGGACTCATCTCCCCGCACCTCCCTTTTCTTCCCCAGGAAACCCCGGTTGCCGTCCTTTGTCGGAGCGCCGCCGCCCGAGCTCCACCGGCCACCTTCCGTCGTCGTCTTGCCGTCGGGTGCTCGGTGAGCATCCCCCTCTCCTCCTCCCATCCCTTCCGCTGCTTCCCGCGCCGCCGCTCGCCGTCGATGGCCGGTGGTCGTGCGCCACCGCCTCTCAGCCGCCGGCCGTGTGCCGCCGCCACCGCCTTGTCGGGTTGGCCGGCAAGCCAGCCCCCCTTTTTGCCGATCTGGGCCGCCGCCCGTGGACCCGTGGTGGTCCTGGTCCACGGTGCCGCCCCAGCCATGGTGGACCGTGTCCACCGTGCGCCAACCCCTTGTGTGTCGCTGACTCGTGGGACCCGCCTGTCGGAGCCGGCCCCTTTGATGATGTCAGCAGCAGGCCTTTCCTTTGAGAAATTATTTAATAATTGCACAATAAATTATTAATAATTCTAAAAATTCATTAAAATGGCTCAAAACTTCTAAAATTCATATCTAATTCATTCGAACTCCAAATTGGGCCATTCAACTTGCAAAATTCATCTAAAATTGAGATCTACATGTTTGTTTACTTTTTATGTACTGTTTACTTGGTTTTTATTAGAGTTTTTCCTCGTTTTGCGTGCCAGCGAGTAGATTCCGTCATTTCGGAAGATCGTGGTCGCGAAGATAAGAGTTCGGAAGATTGTTTGAAGAAGCAAGGCAAGTCATACATTCCCCTTGAGCATTTTGATCCTAATTTACAAATGTTTTATTGTTTGCAAATAAAATTGCATGTCTTGCTAATTACATGGGAATAGGGTTTACCTATCTGCTCGCTTGTGCCATGTTTAGTTGATATCTGTCATTTGTTAACATTGGGTAATAAATCGACTAGCTCATGTTACTTATGTGACCTAGCTAGAACTACATGCTTAGCCATGCTTAATTACCACTAGCTCAGTTGATGGGATAATTACAGTATTAGACCTTTTTAGTATCAGAATGAGCTGCGTGCTCGAGACATCTGGCCATGCTTCATGGTCGTAATTATCCAACTAAAATGCGATTGAATGGTGGGCTGTGGATGCATGGTTTTGCTAGTCGCACCCATGGCAATTAAGGACTGGTTCGCGGGATGCCCTGGAATAACCTATTGTACTTACCACAAGCCAGCGTAGGCAACGGCTGGGCTTGTAGTGTAGCTTTCCTCTAGCCGACGTACCCAGGTGTCGGAGATATAAGCCCGGGGGTATGTGAAGTAGAGGGGAATTACTTTCCCTCCGGCCACATGACTCTGCAGGTTGGCCCCACTCGCGCGTCACGCGAGTCGTGAAAGCGGCTGAGGGGGGGGGGGGGCCTCGGGGCATGACGTCACCCCCTCGGGCTCTCCCGCGGCTTCGCCCCGAGGCCCTCACCCGGCCGCCACGCGGCAGAGGGAGAGGGCAAGAGGGGAGCACAGGCTGAACAGCCATAAATGTGCGACGCCCCAACTGTCCCTTACTGTATTTAATGCAGTAAGGGCAGACGTGCGGCGCGCCTAGCTAACCCCTGTCCATTGGATGTGACCGGTTTGTGACCGGCCCGTCTCCGTCACATCCGATGGATAGGGCAATCATGTCCTCACGTCGCCCTTGTCCCCGGCGGAGTGGGGGTGGGTATGACCCGTCACATCCTAGCGTCACTCGAGGAAGGGCTGTTGCATGTCATCGTTCATTTATGAGGGAATGACAGGGCTGTCCCCCGTGTCAGGCGGGGGGCGGCGCCGGGTTCCACTCGAGAATCGGTTATTGCTTAGCTTCCGGGAGAAGGCCCGGTTTAAAGCCCAAAAAGTGGAGTGGGGTCCCCCCTATGGAGGGTAGGTAGAGGCGGCACATGTGGTATCCCCTTAAGCTATAAAAGGAGGACCCTTCCCACTGAGATGAGGGGACGACTCCCAGAAAATCTGAACTCAAGAAGAGAGGAAGCAAGTGCGCTCTCTGGAGTGAAGAAACCCTTGTAAAACTCATCCATAATCCCAAACACAGGAGTAGGGTGTTATGCTCCATAACAGCCCGAACCTGTATAATCCGACTACGTGCAAGCTTGCCGGTAATCTTAGGGACGAGCGAGTGATTTCCGAGAGGCAGGCCTCCGCCCCCGGCCGAACTCACGAAAGGGGGGGGGGGTCCCATGACTCCCCGCTATTGAGGATCTTCCCTCGACAGCTGGCGCGCCAGGTAGGGGGCGGTTGGGCGTTCCGAGAGGAAGTCGCTTTCTTCCGTCCCAAGTTTCTCCAGGCCTTAGCCGACCATGGTCGAGGTCCTGGAAGTAGAGGAGGAGGCGGTGGCATTTACCCCCACCCCGTCCGGGAGTGGGGATTCCAGCGAGAACCGAGGTCCTCGTCACCGTCGCCATGGTTCTCCAACTCCTCCCCGCTGCGAACCTTCGCCGAGGGAGGATCCCACTCGTTCGGGTGGTTCGGCTCTCTCTCCGCCCCCTGGCGGAGGGAGGCCGCGATGCGTCGGGGCACGACGCCGTCTCGACTATGGAGACGGCGGTTCGCCCCAAGGCACGCTTCAGGCAGCAGGCGCCCTTCTACGGCATCCCCCGGTAAACCCGGAGCCGGAGACTCCTGTTTAGCGCTGGCTGGACGACGTGGCCAACTTGGTCATTGCTGCCCAGCGACAGTTGGCCACGGGTGGCCGATCCACTGCCGCTGG